CTCCTCCGCTACCACCTCCGCCGCCACCTCCGCCTCCACCGCCGCCACTAGTACCTCCACTCCCGCCACCACCTCCACCGCCACCCCCACTCCCCCCGCCACCCCCATCTCCTCCGCCACTGCCTCCTCTAGATCCACCCGCTCCCTTGCCCCCCTTGCCCTTGCCAGAGCGGCGTCTGCCGCTGGGGGCAGACGCCGCACCGACCGACTCAAAACCAGCGAGGTCGGCCGTAGCAGCAGAGGCGACAGAGGGCAGCAGGGGGGAAGGAGAACACCCCTCAAAGATGGGGGTGCGAGGGTCACCCCTAGAGGCCCCTACAGTGACTATACTCTTCTCAGCCGCTAGCAGGGACTCCTCAAGGAGGTCGACAGTGAGGGTGGTGGGACAGACAGAGAGAAACTGGTCCCTAACGACACGAAGGGACTCGGGAAGACGGGTGACGAGAAAGTAGAGAGTGATATACATGGGAGGAGGGTTTGCGGCGCGGAACTCAGCAGGAAGGGCTGCGCGGTAGCGAGCGTCACTAGCACGGAGGTGGGTAACGAGGTCAGCGACAGTGGGAAAGGAAGCGAGGTCAGGGAAGAGAAACGGTAGCATGAGGCGGCTAAGGGTAGCGGAGGAAGGGGGGGAGTAGCGTGCAACTACAGCGTCGTACAAGGCCTGAGCGGTCTTGCACTGACTAAAGTGGGCACGCTCAGAGGAAGGGAGGTGGCGACGCACAGCAAGACGTGCAGCAGCATCGCGGGTCGCCCACTTGGAGCGAACGGCAGAGTCAGCATCAGCAGGCGGGGCAGGGACAGCTCCAGAGACAAAGTCAAAGAGAGAGACCTCATCTATCGCATCACACAGTAAGTACAGCTGTAGGTCTTCAATCCAGACGGCAAAGTCAATGGCCCTCCCCTCAGCGTCAAAAGTAAGAACATTGGGGGTGGCCATGGCAGCAGCTGAAAGTCTCACCGGGCTGGAGGAGTCGGGTAGGTCAGCAGCAGAGGAACACAGCTCAGGGACAGCAGCACGGCTCCTCAGGTGGCTCGCGTGGCTCAGGCGGCTCGGGCGGCTCGGGCGGCTCGGGCGGCTCGGGCGGCTCGGGCGGCTCGCGCGGCTCGGGTGGCGTAGGGGCTCACGGGCGGCGCGGGCTGCTGGGGCTGCTCACGTGCAGCACGGCGGGCTGCAGCAGGGCCGGTGGCGGGCTGTAGCAGGGCCGGCGGCGGGCTGTAGCAGGGCCGGCGGCGGGCTGTAGCAGGGCCGGCGGCGGGCTGTAGCAGGGTCGGCGGTGGGCTGTAGCAGGGCCGGTGGCGGGCTGTAGCAGGGGCCGGTGGCGGCTGTAGCAGGGCCGGTGGCGGGCTGGGAGGCTGTAGGCGGGGCCGACGCGGCGGGCTGTAGCAGGGGCCGGTGGCGGGCCTAAGCGGGGCCAGCGCGGGGCCGACAGGGCGTAGGTGGGGCCGGCGCGGGGCCGAATAGGGGCCTAAGCGGGGCCGACGGAGCCTACGCGGCCCCGACACGGGGCCGAGACGGGGCCTGGGCGGGGCCTACGCGGGGTCGACGAGGTGTACGCGGGGCCTACGCGGGGTCGACGAGGTGTACGCGGGGTCGACGAGGTGTACGCGGGGTCGACAAGGTGTACGCGGGGCCTACGCGGAGTCGACGAGGTGTACGCGGGGCCTACGCGGGGTCGACGAGGTGTACGCGGGGTCGACGAGGTGTACGCGGGGTCGACGAGGTGTACGCGGGGCCTACGCGGGGCCGACGAGGGGTACGCGGGGCCTACGTGGGGCCTACGTGGGGCCGACGAGGGGTACGCGGGGCCTACGCGGGGCCGACGAGGGGTACGCGGGGCCGACGAGGGGTACGCGGGGCCTACGCGGGGCCGACGAGGGGTACGCGGGGCCGACGAGGGGCCTAAGCAGGGGCCGACGAGGGGCCTAAGCGGGGCCGACGAGGGGCCTAAGCGGGGCCGACGAGGGGCCTAAGCGGGGGCCGACGAGGGGCCTAAGCGGGAGCACGACTGGAGGGGCGACTCGGAGGGTCGCTAAAAAAAATGCGCGCCTCGGGGCGCGCTTCGGTGGGCCCTAGGAACAGGCCCTAGGAAGGGACCTGCTCTGATTCCATGAGAAAGTACGAACGAGGAGGGGAATGACTATGAATGAAGTGAGTACAAATAGGAAACCCTAATTGGGTTGTACCCCCTATGGGATACCCCACTATAGCCTACAGAAACAAGTAAGCTATGAGTTCTGACATACAGGACAAAAGCCAGCAATCCGAAATATAGTCCCTAAATCGGTACAGTGTTTCAGGGCGGGTCAACGAAATGATGAGAGGGTTCATCTGTGATAGCAAAGTTTCGAGTGTGACTACCCGTGATAGAAATTAGTGCCTTTGAGTGACGGCGGGTGATACCCGTGTGATGGTTCGTGATAGATTTGGCAGATTTTGTGACTGTCCGTGATAGATTTGGCGGAACATATAACTGCTCGTGATAACTCCGAAATGTTTTGTGACGGCCCGTATAAAAACCCCAGCGGATATGTCTGTACACCAAGTCCTCGCCAACTTCACTATGGCCAATTTCAGCCCCCTGTGTATTCGTTTTAAATTTACCCGAGTTTGAGGGTTGTTTCAAACACTTTGGTTTTAAGGAAAGCAACCACTGGGACTACGCACATGAGTTAGTGGGAAAACAAAAGAAACATGGTCGCAGTGGAAGATTCAGTCCTTGCGTTGCGGTCTCAACGTCAGAAGGGGCAAACATCGAAACGTCACAATGCCTGGGATAGTCTCTAGTTCGGGGGTGTCTTACCCCCTATAGCCAAGTAAGGTCAGTTTGGTTTGAAGCAAGAACTGACGGGGCGTGAAATTGGCGAGGACTGTGTGTAACCCCAAGGACGGTGAACAATTCAGATTAGACCACACAAATAACAAAAATCAGGATTTGCTATGATGTTCCTTGGCTTTTCCTTTTCTGACAGCAAAACAACACCGCGTTTCCCACCGCTCGTCCAACACAGCCATCGCTCGCGTGCCTCAAGGCGATCCATCCGCTGTCATCGTCTCGTTTTTCTGTCCTTGTCGTATCACGCCGCCCTCTCTCACCATCTCCGTCCGTCTCCATCGCACAAGCTTCCGTGTGGTTGCTGCTGGTGGGGTATGCCAAGGGACAGGTGGCAAGGGAACAACGTAGCTCCATAGTTCGGGAGCGCGGGATGCGTCTCCGCCTGGGGTAATTCCTAAGCCTCAGTCGCCATTGCGGCCTTAGGATAAGCCGGGAGAAGCAGCGAGTTTCCATCGGGTCGCCTTCTAGATCTTACGGTGTACGCAGAAAGCCGTGGTCTTTCCTCTTTCTGGTACGTCTCGCCTGCCTCCACAAGCAAGGGATTCCATAGACCGTGATTGTACAAGGCCTGTCCCCACTGCCGCGATTTCATCATCGTCGTCTCTTTCGCACCCTCGCTCCCCCTTCTCTGCTTCACCCCTATCCCCCACTGTCAATCTCTCTCTATCTATCTCGCTCTCTCCTCCCGATCTCGCTGTTTCCTCACAAACCCCCTTTGTTTCCAATCCTTTTTTTAAAGGCGCGATCTTTCATTAGGGTTCCGCGACAGAAACCGGAGTAGTGACTACCGAGAGCCGCTCCTTTCGAGCCTGATTTCTATAATCGATTTCAGTTTCCCGACCTCTCGTTAATTGCAAACGGTCCCCCTCCCCATCCATCCCTGCTGCACATCCCTCCTAGCGGAATCCGCTCTCCTCCCCTTCTCCCCACCTTGCTTCCATTATTCCGTCACCCCTCACCTGCCCTCAGCGATCCCGTCCTTCTTTCTCACCCTTTCTCCTTACCTATTTTCACCCCCGGATCCTTCCCCCCATCCCCCTCCCCCCCACCCTCCCTCATCTCACCCGCCCGCCCCTCTTCACCGCACAGTCGTCATCGCGTTGGGGCCTCTGGTGCATGACTGGGAACGAACGAACTCTAATTCGGCTCGCGCGCTGTTGTTCTGACGTTAGATCCGCGTCCTTAGCATTCGTGACGGATTCCGCCAGCTGCTCCAGCACGCCACCGTCAGACAAGCCGGCAATCAACGGCCAAGGATTTGTGACGGATAGATCACAACCGTAGAACGACCGTAGCACAAACTGAAACAGAGAGATAGTTGCGTGAGCTTCTTCCAGTCTGTGTGTGCCAACTGCCACCGTACACGCCTCCCTTACGACTATAAGACACCACTGCAGTTTCCCCTTCTCGTCTTTCTTCCGCCGGTTTTCCCGCTCTCCTCCTCCGCGGTCCCTTGCGCCTCGACCGCGCGGGCGATCTGTGTTTCGCCTGCTTCTCCGACCGCCCCAGCGCGGGCCCCCTCCGCGGTGATTCCCGCGCGCGGACGCGCTGGCCCCCAGTCTCCGCGCGCTGCTGTCGGTAGACGCGGGCGCGGGCGCGAACGCGGGCGCGGGCGCAGTGGCGAACACGGATTCCGCTGGGGCGCACGTTGCGAAGCGGCGGAAGATCAAAGACGGAGGGTGGAGCAAGGGCCCGGGGAGTGATCACTCCGCGGAGTTGGATGCGCGGGGTGGGGTGGGCGATGGTACGGCTGGCGCCCTTGCCGGCGGTACTGCTGCTAGGCCGACAGCGGTGATCGCGGCGCGAGTGGAGAGAGGAGGAGGAGTAGGAGGAGGAGGAGGAAGAAGGGGGGGAGGGGAGGGAGGAGGAGAAGGAGGAGGAGGAGGAGGAAGAAGGGGGGGAGGGGTGGGAGGAGGAGAACGAGGAGGAGGAGGAGGAGAAGGAAGCAGGGAGACGGAGAGGGGGAGTAGGAGGGAAGGCGAGGCTGAGTTGGAAGAAGGGTGGGGAGAAGAGGTGCAGAGGGTTGGGTACTCGGGGAGTGATATTCAAGGAGGAGGGGAAGCAGAGGGGCGGCAGGAAGGGAAGCTTATATTATCCGATCCTGGTGGTGGGGGTGGTGGGGGTGGTGCTGCTGCCGTTGCTGCTACTGCCGCTGCTCCGCAGTTGATGCCTCATTCATCGTCCCATAGCTGTGTGGAAGTGGCGCGGCATGAGCTGGTAAGGAGCGGTGCTGAGCGGTGCGCGCCTGCTGCCGCCGCCGCCGCCGCCGCCGCTGCTGCTGCCGCTACAGAGAGAGGCAGGCATGGTCTGTGGAGCCTGGACAGGTATATTGAAGAAGCTCAAGAAGGCGCTGGGTATGTGGAGCAAGCAGCTGGGGGGGCGAGGTCTGCTCTGGAGAGCATCAGAAGCTGTCGGATGGCGGCACGAGACAGTGGCAGTGGGGGGTGTGAGGGAGGAGGCACAGCAGGGGTAGACGGACGGAGGAGTGGTGAAGCGGCAGTGGTGGGAGAAGAAGGAGGGTTGTTTGACGGGCCTGTGTCCTCCACTGGAGTGGTGAAGGGGGGTTGTTTAACGGCAGAGACGACAGCAGCAGACCTACATGCACCCTCTGCTGCCGCCACGCCACCTGCACTAGACGCACGAGCTCTAGCCACTCTCTCTACGGAGCTAGGCATACCTTCCATCTCCCCTCATCCCTCTCAACCGGAATCCATCCCCGCTTGTCTCATTCCTGTGGCCTCTGTCTCGCCTGCAGAGCATAAAGCCAGCAAGGCCCTGTCTGCTGCTGCTGCAGCTGTGGTGGCTGCGTCTGCAGCAGCAGAGGCAGCGGCGGGAGAGAGGGGTAAAACGGCAGGAGCAGCAGAGGCGGCAGGGGCGGCAGGGGCGGGAGGGGCAGCAGGTGCGGCAGAGCGCCAGTTTCATGGTCTAGGAGGAGGGCATGACGCGCTGTTTCTGTTGCTGGAGCAAGGGACGGGAGCAACGCAGAAGATGCAGCCGGGTGGTGCTGTCGGGGCCACTGGCACGTTAGGGGCGGGAAGGACCTTAGAAACGCCTCAAATGCCGTTTACTGGGGCGTTACGGGTTGAAGACTTGCAAAGTAGTGAGGCAGAGAGGGCGCTTGGGCGTGGGGATGAAGGCGGGGTTGGGGATGCGAGAGGGGAGGGGAGTGCAGCAGCAGGGTATCCTTATCAAAAGTGGCAAGAGCTCCAGCGGGAGCAGAGGGAGCAAAGGGAGGAGAGGGAGCAGAGGGAGCAGAGGGAGGGGGACGGAGCACGTGTGAGGGCTGTACAGCAGTTGACAGAAGGGTCGGAGGTGGGAGGAGAAGCTGTTGCTGTCGTTGCCGCTGCTGCTGCTTTTGGCGGCGGCGGCAGTGGCAGTGGCAGTGGTGCTGGTGCTGGTGCTGGTGCTGGTGCTGGTGCTGGTGCTGGTGCTGGTGCTGGTGCTGGTGCTGGTGCTGGTGCTGGTGCTGGTGCTGGTGCTGGTGGTGACAGAGGCGGTGACGCAGGGCCAACGAGGGGGCGATATGGAGAGGCAGGTGCGGAGCGCAAGGCGAGTGGGGGCTTGAATGGTGTGTGGGGGGGAAGCCACGTGGTTCCGCCCTGGCCCACTGCTGCCAATGCCCCTGCTTGGCCTCCACCCTCTAATACCCCTCCGTGGCCCCCGGGTTCCGACGCCCCTCCCTGGCCTCCCTCTTCTGACGCTCCTCCCTGGCCTCCTGCCTCCAACGCCCGTCTCTCCTCCAATACGCCTCCCTGGCCTCCCGCTGCCAACGCCCCTGCCTGCCCCCCTGCTGCGAACGCCCCCCTCTCCTCCAATACCGCTCCCTGGCCTTCTGCCGCTGGCGCACCTCCCTCCTTACAAGAGTCTCCCTGGCCTTTCCCAAGTGGTCTTGTGTCTCCATGGCCGCCTGTCTCGCAGGCTCAGCCGCAGCGCGGCAGGCAGGCGGACGGGCAGGAGCAGAGGCAGGGGAAGAGGGAAGGAGAGAGGGAGGAGAGAAAGGAGGAGAAGATTGAAGGGGCGAGGGAGGAGGGGAGGGAGGGGCAGGTGAGCAGGAAAGTGATGGGTGGAGTTGGGAGTGGTGGGGTGCAGGTCGCATGGGGGGCGTCTGGGAGAGAGGCGGGTGGTGCAGGGAAGACGGTAGCAGACACTCCCGCATGGATGATGGGAGGCTCTTGGGGGGCGAGCGCAGATGCAGCAGGGCACGGAGCACAGGGGGCGCAGGGGACAGAGGGGAAACAGCGGACACAGGTTTCACAAGGTGCAGCAGGGAAGACGGCGGCAGGCACTCCCGCATGGATGATGGGAGGTTCTTGGGGGGCCAGCGCAGATGCAGGAGGGCAGGCGGGTCAAGGGGCACAGGGGGCACAGGGTGCGACAGGGAAGGCTCCGGCCTGGATGATGGGAGGGTCTTGGGGGGCAAGCGCAGATGTAGGAGGTCAGGCGGAGGGGGGACAGGGTGCAGCAGGGAAGACGGCAGCAAGCACTCCGGCATGGATGATGGGAGGATCCTGGGGGGCGAGCGCAGATGCAGGAGGACAGACAGCACAGGGCGCACAGGGCGCAGCAGGAGCAGCAGGAAAGACGGCAGCAGGCACTCCCGCATGGATGATGGGAGGATCCTGGGGGGCCAGCGCGGATGCAGGAGGACAGGGCGCACAGGCCGCACAGGGGGCACAGGGTGCTGCAGGAGCAGCCGGAGCGGCAGCAGCAGGGGGAGCAGGAGCAGGGGCAGCAGGAGCGATGAGATGGGCTCCTCCCAAGGGCGCTCTGCCTGCGAGTCTTCTCTCTCTGCTGGACGATTTTCCTGGAGTTTCTTCTCTGGGCAAGGCGGTTGGTGAATGGACCTGCAAGGAGGTGGTGGTGAAGAGTGGAGGGGGGACAGCCGAGGGAGGACGGGGGGAATGGGGTGGTGTGGGTGTGGCTGGGAGCGGTAGAGGGGAAGGGGCGTGGGGAGAGGCAGGGGGTGTGAGGCTGGGGAGTGGAAGAGAGGGGGGCGTGAGGGATGAAACTCAGGTGGACGAGAATTTCGCGGCAGGAGTGCTGCTCGGTTCGGAGCGGTTGAAAGGGGTCCGTGATGGGGCCGGGGGAGCCGAGTTGTGTGCTGAGAGGTTGGGAGGGGATGGAAGGGGAGAGGGGGAAGCTAGCAGGAGACAGTTGGAGGGGGAAGGGGAGGGGTTAGAGGGACGGCAGGCGGAACAGGAGGAATCGGATTGGGATTCAGATTGGGAGTCGGATGGGGGAGGGGAGGAGGAGAGGAGGGAGAGGAGGGAGAAGGGAGGAGAGGCGCAGGGCGGAATGAGTGCATCAGAGGGAGCAGCAAGAGGAGACGGAACGGGTGATGAAGTCACGGCGGCTGACATTGTTGCACGCAACGGAATGGGAAGCAGTGGTAGAGCAAAAGGCCTTGAGGGGCTTCGGGTGAAAGTACACGCGGTGGAAGGGTTTCAAAGAGGGGGAGCGGGCAGTGGAGGAGGGGGGGACGGGTGGGGAACGGGAGCAGGACAGCGATCGGGACGGGGAGAGAGAGCAGCAGCAGCGGCGGCAGCAGGAGAGGCTGCGGTAGAGGAAGCAGCGGCAGCAGTGGTGGAGGGGGACACGAGCAACGCGCACTTCCACCTGCCGCAGTCGGTGCTGTCGGCGGTGGGGTGTGCGTTGCAGTCTGATATCACCATTGCCGCTGTGCTGCAGAGTGATAACCGCATTGCGGAGACGGTTCTGTGCCACCCTCCGGGGCTTGTCTCCCTGCCTGTGCGCCTCACCAAGACCATCCTCAACATGTCGCACGGCAAGGTATTGTTGGGGATGTTTAGGGGAAGGTATGTTCGTTGATGTTGTTGCAGGGGAAGGTACGTTCGGGGATGGGAGAATAGGAGGGGTGGGGCCACCAAAAGATTTTTCCTGCCTGTGCGCCTCACCAAAACCATTAGTAACATGTAGGACGGACGGCAAGGTATGTATGTTGGGGAAGGGGGAGAGGGGGCTAGGCCCAGGAGGGACTCGGGGAGGAGGACTAAAGGTTGCTCTCTTTCAGATGGCTCTGCTTTCTGCTGTTTTGCAGAGGTCTAGGAGGGGAGGACTGTGTAGATCTGGGGCGAGGCAGGCAATTACTGTCTCAACTCCTCCATTTCCCCTCTTTCCTCTCCCTTCCTCCCCCCCGCCCTCCACTCGCCCCACCTACCAGCTAATAAACACGGACCGTCTGCTCCTGCCCAGTGTCATCACGGCTGCTCTCGGTGCCCGTCCCCGCCGCTACCTCGCCACGTCCTTCCATGCCGAGGGGTACGCCTGCCAGTGCTGCTTTCTCCCCGCCGCGCTGCTTGCTTGCTTGCTTGCACATGCTGCCGTTCTTTCCTGCAATCCGTGTCTCGCATGTCACCTTTGCTTTGCCGCCATCCTCCCCTACAACGCCCCATCTGTCACTCCGTCACCCACTGCGCCCGTCCCACTGCACCCCTCTCCCCGTTTTGCCCGCCGGCCCCTCCACCCTCCCCCCAGCTACGACGGGCTGTGCTACGCTCTCTGGGCGAACCCCTCCCGCGTGCCGAGAGCCGCAGAGGACATCATGTCAGACGCAGTGCAGGCGCTGCCGCTGCTGCTCGCCAACCGAGTGCGCGCCATGTGCTGCGAGCGCATGGGGCGGCGCTTCGATGCCATTCTCGCCCGCATGCCGCAGGCCGTGGTGTTTGTGAACGATGGCATGGGGCCATGCCTCATCAACCCCGCTGCTGCCGACCTGCTGGACCTCCCAGCGTGAGTTCTGAGATGGCCTGGATTGAGATTGTCTGATGTGCGCTGCGACGGTCTTCTAGGCGAACATGCTGCGTGCTGTTTGGTGGTGTTTGTGGACGATGGCATGGGGCCGTGCCTTATCAACCCTGCTGCTGCGGACCTGCTCGACCTCCCTGGGTGGGTTTTGGTGTTGTTTGGGATTGGTGTGCTTGGGGACAATCTTTTAGGCGCGCATGCTTCAAGCCATGGTGTTTGTGGACGATGGCATGGGGCCGTGTCTTATCAACCCTGTTGCTGCCGATTTACTCGACCTACCCGGGTGAGATTGACTGACGTGCGCTGCCATGATCTTCTAGTCTAGGGAAACATGCTGCATCAACCCTGCGTTGTGTGGTGTTTGTGGACGATGGCATGGGGCCGTGCCTTATCAACCCTGTTGCTGCTGATTTACTCGACCTACCCGGGTGAGATTGACTGACGTGCGTTGCCATGATCTTCTAGTCTAGGGAAACATGCTGCATCAACCCTGCGTTGTGTGGTGTTTGTGGACGATGGCATGTGGCCGTGCCTTATCAACCCTGCTGCTGCCGACCTGCTCGACCTCCCCGGGTGAGATTGACTGGTGTGTTTTGAGGTGGTTGTCGACGATGAGCAGATGAGCTCTACATCGTATGCAGCACCCCCCGAAATTCTCGTGTTTTGAGATGTCTCGGTATTCATCCCCATCCCCATCCCCATCCCCCACAACCATAACCATAACCATCCCCATCACCATCCCCATCCCCATCCCCACTGTCTTTAATCACCTGCCGCTGGTCTGTACCTGTCAGGCCGGGGAAGTTGAGCGCCGTGAAGGTCGCAGCAGCTTTCAAGGCTCTTGTGCAACGCACCTCCACGCCCACTGAAATATTCCGGTACAGTTCATGCATTTCCCTGCACGTGCCCATGCCCATGCCCATGCCCATGCCCATGCCCATGCCCATGCCCATGCCCATGCCCATGCCCATGCCTGCAGTTCCATTTGTTACTCCCATCGGCCCATTCCCCATCTCGTATCTTTCTTTCCACCCGCCACTTCTCCTGCCTTCCTTCCCATCCCATTCTCCCCACCCTCTCCCCCTCCCCCACCTCATCATACCCACCACGTGCCTGTACACTGTATCCAAAGCCCCTTATATAGTCCTCTCCCTCCCCTCCTCCCCTCCCTCCCGCCCACTACAGCTGGCTGCGCACGGTATCAGCCTTCCTGCACGACAGCATGGAGGCGGTGTGGCACGTGCAGGAGCCGTGGTGTGTGGTGTGTGGTGCCTCCTGCCTGATCCCATTCCCACGCTCACCTCCCCTGCCTCGTCTCCCTCCTCCCCCTCCCCCCCTCTGCATGCCCCCCCTCTCCCCCGCTGGCAGCTGGCTGCGCACGGTATCAGCCTTCCCGCACGACAGCGTGGAGGCGGTGTGGCACGTGCAGGAGCCGTGGTGCGTAGTGCGCGTGCAGTCGTACCCCGTGAGCAGCGAGGCCACGCACGGGCGCGTGTGGCTCTTTGACGACGTCACCGCGGAGCACGAGGCGAGAGTGGCGGTGGAGCAGGCGGACAAGGCCAAGGCGCAGTTCCTCGCCATGATGAGCCACGAGCTGAGGACGCCCATGACTGGTGTGTTGAGAGGGTTGTTTTTAGAATTTTAACAAACATGCATGACTGGTGAGCCAGTGGGAGGTGTGGGGGAGGAGAAAAGGGAGGGAGGGACAGGAAAGCCGTGCTGCGCATGATGCCTCTCACTCCTCTCACTTCCTCTCCTCTCCCCCTTTGTTCACCAATGCCGATGCCCATGCGTGCAGGCGTGCTGGGCATGCTAGACCTGCTGCGGCTAACGCCGCTGACAGGGGAGCAGAACGGGCTGGTGCGCGTGATGCAGGGGTCAGCGGAGGGGCTCATGCAGGTGCTGAACGAGATCCTGGACTTCTCAAAGATCGAATCTGGCAACTTCTCCCTTGAAGAGGCCGACTTTTCCGTCTCCGAGCTTCTTGACCAGGTATGGTGTTTGAGAGGTCTCAAAAGATGTCTCAGAAAGGGGTCAGCGGAAGATCTCTCATGCAGGTGCTCAACGAAATCCTGGACTTCTCTTCTCCAAGATCGAATCCGGCAACTTTTCCCTTGAAGAGGCCGACTTCTCCGTCTCTGAGCTCCTCGATCAGGTATGACTTTTGAGACGCCTCTCCTCCTCTTTGGATCTGTGTTGCTCTGCTGCCTCCCGCCTCTCTGCTTCTCCCTTGAGGAGGCTGACTTCTCCGTCTCCAAGCTTCTCGACCAGGCATGCATCGTCACCTCTCTGCCGCTCTGCCCCTCTGCCTCTTTGCCTCTCTGCCGCTCTGCCCCTCTGCCTCTTTGCCTCTCTGCCGCTCTGCCTCTCTGCCCCTCTCTAACCCCACAACCCACCAGGTGGCAGCGCCGTTCTGAGGGTGAGTGGAGGAGCGCCATCTATCGCTCACCGTGCCTCCCTGTCGCTCTGCCTCTCTACCTCTCTATCTCTCTGCCACTGCCTTGACCTGACTATTCACGTGCATGCATCCTCATCCCCCTGGCCCACACTACACTACCCTCCCCACCCACCAGGTGGCAGCGCTGTTCCGAGGCCGAGTGGAGGAGCGCCATTTATCCCTCACCGTGCACAAGCCGCATGTCAAGGAGCAGGCTGTCAGGGGCGACCCCAACCGCCTGCGACAGGTGGGTGCTTCCTTTCTCCTGCCTCGCTCTCGCTCTCTGTCTTTTTGCACACTTGTTTGCATGGGTGGTTTCAGTCGCGTAAACCGAGTTGGTATTTTGAGGAGCATAAAGAGGCTGGTTTTGTCTGTCTCTCTGCATGGATGTACGCGTGGGCGTGGGTGGTCAATCCTGAAAACCGGGCTTTCGGCTGTGCCTGTTATGTTAGTGGAGAGAGAGACGAGTTTTGCATGGAAGGATGGACTCTTACACATGTGGTGTGGTGTTTTCGAATCTCTGTGATTTCTTACGAATGTGTTGTGGTTTCTGTTTCAGGTGCTCACGAATCTGGTGAGCAACGCCATCAAGTTCACAGAGCAGGGAGGTGTGACCATCACGTGGAGGCGAACGCTGCTGCCCCGCTCCGCCTCCTCCCTCAGCCTCGCCTCCCCTGGTTCTGCCCTCGCCCACACAGACCCCACAGGGGCTGCCACTGCTGCTGGTGGTGCTGGTGCTCTTACAGGCGCAGTGGCAGGAGGAGCAGAGGTATCAGGTGCAGGTGTAGGGGAAGGAGGGGGAGGGGCAGGAGCAGGGGCAGAGACGGGAGGCATGGGGGGCATGGGGGGAATGGGTGGCATGGGCATGGGCATGGGGCGGAATCAGCAGCAGCGCAAGGAGCAGCAAGGGACGAGCATGGCGAGGAGTATCAGTGGGCGAGACAAGCACCGCCCCTCGGGGAAGAGCATGGGTATTGGTGTGGGCGTGGGCGGGGTGCAACCAGGGGGGGCGTTTGCTGCCGTTGCTGCCGCTGCTGCAGCGGCTGCTGCACAGGCAGAGGCTGAGACTGCTGCTGCTGCAGCTGCTGCAGCAGGGGGCGCAATTGACGGAGGAGCAGGAGGGGTGGGAGGAGTGGGGGGAGCAGGAGGAGCGGTAGGAGCAACATCAGGAGGAGTGGAGCTGGGGCGATTAGAGGCAGTGAGCGAGGGGAGGGAACGGATTGCAGAGAAGAGACATGGGGCAAGACATGTAGATCTATCTCATACCCCACCAGTCTCTGCTGCTGCTGCTGCTGCTGCTGCTGCTGCTGCTGCTCCAGCTCCTGCTGCTCCTGCTTCTGTGCTGCCTGCGATTGCAGAAGGGAGAGCAGCAGCAGCAGATCGAAGCCTTGAGAGCAGAGCAATGGTGGCGCCTGCGGCAGGCACAAGAGCAGGTGAAGACGTGAGCACCAGCGGTCATCGACTGGGTATGGCGGGGAACCTTGCTTCAGGAGCCACGGAGGCAGCAGGAAGAACAGCTCTAGGAGCAGCTTCACCTGCTGCTGCTGCTGCTGCTGCTGCCGCTGATGCTGATGGTGGCGGTGGCGCTGCCAATGCTGCTGCTGCTATCCCCGCCCATGCCGTTTCTCCCACTGATACTGCCGCAGGACCTGTACCAACGGACAGGTCTCCCGCTTCCTCCTCACGACCCACCTCCCCTTTGTTTGTGGACGATTTAACTCGAGAGAGAGGCCTGAGGATCAACATATCGAGGCAACCGATACAGAAACCAGCGTCTGCTGGGAGCACTCCCGGGCGCCACTCCTCCCCGTTCGCCAACCCCGCTTCCTCCGCCTTTCCTTCCACTAAGTCGCCGCTCACCTCCTTCTCACTCACCCCCCCTCACGGTTTCAGACCTGGCTTCCCTGCCTCTCGCTCCCCTGAAACGCCTCCGTCTCCCACGAACATGTTCTCTGCTAGAAGGCGGTTTCCATCGCACTCGTCGTTGCCTGCTAGGTCTCCTTGCTCCTCGCCTTTCACCCTCACCTCGCCTCCTCATGTGGAGACTGTGAGGGAGCAAGAGGAGCGGGAGCAAGAGGAGTGGGAGCAAGAGGAGAGGGAGCAAGAGGGCCAGGAGCAAAAGGATCGAGAGCAAGAGGGGCAGGCGCAAGCCGGGGGGGAGCAGAGGAATGAGGAGGTGGGGCTGAGTGCGTGGTTGAGAGCAAGTAGGGCGGATGAAGGGCATGGTGCGGAGGAGGTTTGTTCTCAGGATGGCAGCATGGGGGGTGGAGGGAATGGAGCGAGGAGAGGGAGAAGCCGCACAAAGGTACAGTTTGAGGAGGTAAATGAGGAGGAAGTGGGGAGAGGAGATAGGTGTGAGAAGGGTCGTGTGGGCGAGGAAGTGCGGATGAGTGAAGGAGAGAGCGAGGGGGGTGAGGAAGAGGACGAAGAAGAAGAGGGTGAGGAAGGGGAGGAAGTAGAGGGAGAGGAGGAAGAAGAGGAGGAGGAAGGCAGCATAAGCCGAGAGGAGCGAGAGCGGGAGGGCAAGGGCTCGGGAGAGGAAGAAGAAGAGGATGAGGAGGAAGAGGAGGAAAAGGAGAAGGACTGTCGGCCGCGGCTGTGGTACGAAGTGAGAGTGAAGGACACAGGCATCGGGCTCTCCCCAGAGCAGCAGGGGCGGCTCTTCAAGTCGTTCTCACAGGCTGATACCTCCACCACACGCAAGTTTGGAGGCACGGGCCTCGGCCTGGCGATTTGCAAGGGGCTTGTGAACGCCATGGGTGGGGAGATCTGGATCGAGAGCGAGGTGGGGAAGGGCGCGACGTTTGTGTTCACTGTGCCGCTGCTGGCGCCGCAGCGGCCGGAGAGGTTTAGGGTTGAGGAAGGGGGGGGGATGGGGACGGTGGAGGGGGAGGGAAGGGGGGGGGGGCGCGCTGCGGTCGCAGGTGGGCGGTGCGGGAGGGAGTGGGCTGCATGTGCTGGTGGCTGAAGACAATGTCGTGAACCAGATGCTGATCAAGAAGATGCTGCGGCACTACGGGCATCAGGTGCGTGCCGGCAGAAGTGCGTGTAGGTAGTGGTAGGGTGTGGTAGGGTGTGCAGGCAACAAGGTGTGAGACTCTTTTTGTGGATGCTACATTGGCTTGTGTGGGGGCTTGGGTGATTTTGAGGGGGATTGTGAGGTTGAGTTGAGGCGGCTTAGGATCATGGCTGGCTGGCTGTCTGCATGTGTGTGGTGGAGTGGATTCTGACTGAAGAGGATGTTGAGAGGTGGTAGACACTACAGGCATGCTTTGACTCGAGGATTAGTGGCCTCGTATTTTGAAGGCACTCCTCGTCTCACTCTCCTCCTGCTCCCGATCCGCCCTTCCCTTCCCTCCCCCACCATTCCTCGTGCAGGTTGACGTGGTGGCGAATGGAAAGCTAGCAGTGGAGGCTCTTCAACGAATGAACGGGCCAGGGGCAGGGGCAGGAGGCGAAGGGGGGGCAACTGAGAGAGCAGGCACAACAGGAGAGGGACGGGGACAGGGAGGGCAAGGAGGACCCTTGGCCCCAACTGCCGCTCCGCCTCGCTCTCTAGTCTCTGCTTCCTTTGAAGCCACTGAACCCCCAGCCTTTGCTGCTACCGATGCAGCAGCAGCAGCAGCGGCAGCAGCAGCAGGAGCAGCAGCAGGGGGAGGGGGTGCCGCCGGGTCGGTCGGTGGATATGATATGATTCTCATGGATCTCCAAATGCCTGTTATGGATGGGCTCATGGCTACTCGCACCATCCGTGAGCTACCTGCTCCTCTCTGCCGCATACCCATTTATGCACTCACAGCTGATGTACTCACACAGGCTTCAGGGACTTTGGAAGAAATGGGGCTGGATGGGTATTTGACCAAGCCTATTGACTGGGGAAGCCTTTCTAAGGTGATTCAGCAGGTGGGGCTGGCGAAGCTACAACCAGACATCGCTGCTGCTGCTGCACTGATGGAACGTGAGGAGCAGGAAGAGCAGGAGGCAGCGGGAAGGGATTGAAGAGTCGGTTTGAGAAATCTCAGCGTATGGTTATTGCCGCAAGGGAGGAGCAGAAGGCTCATTCTTGAGATTGACATGATTGTAGGCAGGGTAGGGCAGGGTATAGCCACCATTGATTGGCTAGCTTTGAGTGGCATGTCCCTTATTTCTCGTGTGCTTCGCTTCCTTCTTGTAAATGCACTATCCTTATTCTTGGTCTGCTTGAGTTTGTGCCTGGCTTCAGTTCAGCAGCTGTCCCGGTTTTGAAAGCACTTGGGCAACCCGTTTCTGCATGTGACATTACCGTACCACTCATGTGCCATCACATTGTTCAGCTGCCAGCAGTGTCCTGTAGGGTGGTACTTTCACGAAAGTTAAAGATGCTTGAAAGGGAGTGAAACCGACGGCTCATGATTGGGAAATACTGAAGAACGCTGACAAGACTCCGTCCTCCACCCATCTCCATGAGTGGCGAAAGCGGAATTCTCTTTTCAGAGCAGGCTTTTAGTCTTGAAAATGTTGCAGCTAGAATCCATCAAGAGTTTGCCGGGAGTGAAAAGCACCATCTTCTAAGCGAGTTCATGACAAGTCAAAGAGACGAGCAGCTTGTGTCACTAAAAATAACGACCAGCTGTCAGCTCCGCTGTAATTCTAAACCCTTCATCCCTCCTTACAGTCACACCTTCCATATCAGATGGATGGATGTCCGAGACGAGATATCTTCCAGTTTCCCTGAATGATCCAGGTACGAACAGCTTTTCGCTCATGATGGGAAACTCTCTCGCTAAAACGGATCTGAAGATGATTGGCAGGAGTGGAAACAAAGTCAATCATTTCTGTTTGCCATGATTGGCAGGAGGAGGTACCGCATTTCGCCCCTCTTCGTCTCCTCTACACCACACGGTAGCGCATTCACACAAGATTCAACCAGCTGAACCTAGTCTTAGCTCAAGGTGGTGGCGTGTCTCTTTTTTGACGCTGACGGTTCGAACCGTGGACCGTCCGGCTCGCGAAAAGGTTACCTATTTCGCATTATTTCGCAACTTTTTCGCCATGGTCTTCGCGATTTCGCCCACTGTTCGAAACGTCACATCACTTTTCCCTCCAAGCAACGGTTCACAATGTGGACCTTTGTCAGTTCGAAAAGCAAACGGACGGAATTCAATCTCTGACATCTGATTGGCGCGCGAAAAAACGAAAAAAAACACCGAGCCGCATGTCTAACAAAATATTGGGCGCGCGGCGCCAAATAGAACATTGAACCGTGGACACCCCCACTACCCTTGCTACACTACAAAGACGATTCCTTTTCGAACCGAACCATCACAATCAGCACGCAATGGAGCAGTCCAGCGGAAATGAGAACTCTGGACCGGCAAACACCACACCCAACACCTCCGTCCCTACTACCTCTACCCAACCTGATCCGGATGCTGCTGCACCAGAGACACAAGAGTCTCATATTCAAAATCCCACTCCCGCCAATGCTCAAACCCCGACCACAACCACCAACGCACAAGTTGACTGGAGGGTCTACCACATCCCGTCTCCCACAGCCTCATACGACGCCGACGACGACTACGGACTAGGCGCAGATATGGACAACGCTGCGATGCTCGGGGAGGTTGAGGAGGAGCCCGCTGAGCAGGAGATGTCCCCGACCCGCGAGACCACCACTCCGTCACGCAGATCTACGGGGAGGACGCAGCCGCGCTGGACCCCAGAGGAGGAGTGCGAGGTCCTCGCCGCTTTCATCTCCTGCCAGGCCCAAATCCGCGCGCGTACGGGTCAGCAAGGCCGAAGCTGGTATCCGCTCATCCAGGAGGAGCTCCTGCTGCAAAATCCGGCGTGGCGCCACGACATCTCCGCTCTTAAAGCCAAGTACAATCGCATGAAGGAGCAGTGGCGCCGCATCAACGATCGCATCAAGCGCTCGGGGGCGGGACGCGCCACTAGTCTGCCTCCTTGGTTCCACCTCGGCGACGCTTTATGGGGTGAGCGCCCAAGTACCATCCCCCCCGTACTTGCTGGCACGGGCGTCAATCGAGCCACAAGTTCCAGGTCTGCGACGGCAACGCCACCTCCCGCCAACGCCCGTCGTCGGCCATCTACAACGAATGCGACGTCCCCGTCGCATACACCGAATGCCGCCTCGAACACGGACAGTCCGGCTCCCAGCATCGCGCTACCACCGCCTTCCCCGCCACTCCCACATCCCATACCCTCCAACCCCCCGATGGCTATTGAGACCACGCCGACTGGAGTGGTGGCGCCCACATCTCCAACTCCCAATCCCCCGCCCGCGTCACCTGCATCTTCCCCTGCTCGAGACAATGCAACCCGCCGCGGGAATGTGTCCCCTCTATCGCCAGACACCATCCCGTCGGCGTCTCCTACTGCCGCCGCGACGGAATCAGGTGCGACGACGGGTGTCTCGATCCGTGGTCGTCGCCAAGTCGGGGGAGCGCTCGCGTCGTCTGATGGGCAAGAGGGATGCAGCCGGCATGCATGGTATCAGTATCCTCGTCAGCAGCCAGAAGGCAAGGTTGGCAAGGGGGGTAACACAGGATCAAAGGGCCAAGGTCGGAAATCTACTGGGCGACCCAGAGCCCAAAGCACCGCGGATCTTGTTGGAGAGCTCCGCGACCATAACGACAAGCGTCAAGAGGAGAACTGGAGCAAGTTCGTGGCGCTTACCCGGGAGGTGTTTCGCGGCTTCGCGGATGAGCGACGCAGTAGGAGGCGTAGATCGCCGCAGTCCACCTCTTCATCCGAAGACGAGGCGTGAACCCGCGGACCTCGGCGCCGGTGAGTCGAAGCCGTGACGCCGGACCCTCGAGCCACCAACGATTCCGCTCGTTTGGTGGGCCAAGTCGATCGCGGCTACCGATCGTCAGCTCGATGTTGTGCATCGCGACGCACGCGCTCACGACCTGCGGGACGCGGTCACTATGGCACTCCATACGAGCATCAAGGATCCTCCATTTCCCCTTCAATCTCCCGTTCACTTGTTCTACCACCATCCGTTGCCTTGACTGTTGTGTGTTCCATTTGTCCTTCGCCCTTGGCAGAGCCCGTCCCGGTGTAGCACGCCATGGGACGCATGTGTAGCTTTTCAAGGCATACGCGGCGTCGCTCACCAGCATGTAGTTGCCTAAATCCCCTGCTTCCATGCACTCCCGGAGGGGTGAGTTGTTGAACACCCGCGCGTCATTCACACTCCCCGGATAGCCGACGTTGTAGTCCCAGATAATGCCGTTGCTATCACAAGCTATCTGTAGGTGGATAGAGTAGAACCCCTTTCTGTTTTTGAAGTCTTCTTTGTCGCGTCCAAACCCCCTGCATTCTATAAAAGTCCCATCCAATGCCCCTATGACACCCGGTATCTGTCGTTCATATTTTCTCATGGAATCGGAGCATTTTTACGACTTGGCCTGTGTGCCCGCCTTACGCTTCCGCGATGAGTTTTCGGTCGTGCGCCTAGGGCGCGTGACGATTTTTTAATTAGTCCCGCCCACGGGTGTGTGGCTCCTTCTTTGCCCGTCGCGCGCCCCGTGGCACGCGACGGTGCCCTTCATCTGCCCATCGTGCGCCCCGTGGCACACGATGGTGCCCTGCTCGTCGTGCGCCCCTAGGCGCACGATCGGGCCTGTTTTCTTCTTCTACCCGTCGTGCGCCCCGTGGCACTGGCCCGCGACGGGCCTTTCCGCCCCTGCACTCCCTGGAGCCGCCCCTGACCCATCTGCACCGACGCCTTTTCGCCGCTCTGCGGCTTTCTTCCTTCCCACCCCCTCCTCCTTTGTCTCCCTGCATCCGTGGGGAGGAGGGTATGGGGGTGGAGGGTGTTGGAGTGTGGCGTCACCTCTCTCCCTTCCCCTCCTCCTTCTTTCAGTCCCACCGCTGCAGCTGCCGCTGGGGGGGGAGGGTGTGAGGATGTGGGGGAGCAGGGGGAGTGGTAACGGGGTGGCGGGTGTGAGGCAACATGCAGCCGTCCCTCCACCTCTCCTCTCTTCCCCCCCTTCTCTGCTGCTCCTGCAGCAGTGTGGGGGAGGGGAAGGAGGAGGGTGAGGAGACGGAAGGGGTACCTGCTGTTGCTTGCTATGCTGGAACTACACATCTACCTACAAGCATTATGGGGGCGTGTCGAAATATTTTGTCATGTTTTATAACTGCTTGTAGTTGTAGTTAGTGTAGTTATGTAAACTGTTGGTGGTGGTGCACCTTATTTGGTTTCTATGCTATATGTACCCTTAAACCTATAGTGAAACCATCTTCATTCTCCAATTTCCCCTCTCAACTCACTCGACACCTTGCCTAGGTGAAAACCCGCTCGATACCTAAGTTCGGGCCTAGGCTACTAAGCCTAGGCCCCACCTCTTAACTCACTCATTCTCGTTCATATCTTCTCTCGACAGTATCCCCCCCTCGTAAGTGAACTCTGCCGCCATTTCTGCACATTGGTCAAGGGTGGGGTGTGTAACCCATAGAGGCTCCAACACGTTGACAATAAACGCAATGAACCTGTAGATGAGGCGGAAGGCATGTTGCGGCACAACACCAAATTGCAATCCCACCTGACGGAATGTGGCACCCGTGCCAAGATACACTAGAGTCATAGCCACCACTGTCTCAATGGGCACTACACGACGACGGTCTCCGTTCCGCGTTATCCACGCCTCCACTAGGTAGTCAAACACCGCCCGATTAACTCTAAACGTTTCAATGAATATGCGGCGAGGCAAGGAGTCGAGAAGGACATCCCATCGTGCCCGCTGGTTCCTACGGTCATAACGCATCGTGTTGCGGTCATCGTCCTCAAGCAGTAGAATAACATCCGTGAGCTGTTCAAAGGCTGGACGGACGATGAACTCGTGGTAGCCTCTGTAAAGCAGGTGGAGCACTGATAGGAGCAGCCTCCTAGACATGGCGTTGCTTTCGTTCTGTTTTGATAGTGCTCTGTGTGTGTGGCTCGACGTTGTTTACTGAATTGGTGTGGTATAGCCTATGTAGAAGGTTGACGATTGGCTTTCAGGGGGCATCGAGTCGCGGCCTGGCTATGCGAAGTTGGCGATGGGGTGTGACTGAGGTTACGTGAGTGTACGATGCCTGGCGATGCTACAGTACTTTGGAATACTGATGCACTCGGGAAAGTGATGCTTTTGCCTTCGTACTGTCCAATGTTTTGAAATTTTGAATCGGACTGTCCGAAACTCGCTATTGCAACTGTCCGTTTACATACAACCGGACAGTCCGTCAAAATCCATAAAAGCAAAAAAGAGACACGCCCTTATGAGCATTGAGCATACATTCAGCATTGCTGTTCCCTAGATCTCTTGCATGTAGTCAGAGACATGAGTAAAACCATGGCAGCGTGTCATGCATTCAGCAAATGCATGTCCTTTGTGTCAACTCATTGTCTATCTGTCAGCTCAATCCTGCTGCCATTCTTAAACTCAATGCTTCAACTCCGACCTTGAAATCCTTGTCGCGAAATCAACGCATCTGTTGCACCCATTATGCCATTTTTAGGGAATGAGCAGCATCATGTAACAGAGTTTCTCATCTTTGAAAAGCGTACATACCTCTGGCGCTTCCCTCATTTCGCATTATGAGTATGCCTTCTTCTGTTTTCTGTCGTCTCATATTACGAACTCAGATTCGCCATTTCTGACGCTGCAAGAGCGCTTTGTCACCGTCAGATTGTCAACTGAACAAGACACTTTGTTGGAAATCGACGAGAGTGTCAAGGTGAGGGATGAACATGTTGTAAGTAAAGTCTATTTCCTGCTCAGTATCATACTTCGGGTCTTTTTTTTTTTTTTTTTTTTTTTTTTTTTCAATATGTTGGCAAAAATGACCTAATTGCTTCCTCTTTTGTTCTATTCAGGACTCGAATCTCAACAATAGATCACCATGAAGCGGACAACAGGTTGCTCTCGGCTTCTATCGCTTCCAGACGAGATCCTCAGAGCCATATTTCAGTGTCTTTCAATGTCGGATTGGCCCAATATCGCTTTCACCTGCTCACGCTTTCACAACACGATGAAACAAGCACAGCTTACACTCGATGAGATTGCCTTCCCCTTGGCGGTCATACCACGATTGACTCGCTTGTCCAAAGCCAATTACACCTGTATTTCATGTCTGCGCTTCTACGGAGGATCCACCACTTCAGAAGAGACTTCACGACTTTTGATTGCCATTGGCTCAACTTGTCCTGCATTGGAGAGTTTATTGACCTTTGGCGACTTCGAAGAGAGTGCTTGGAGGAATTTGGCTGAAAGATGCAGGTGAGTACAAGCTTGGATCTCCAGTTGCTTCACCGTTTTCATCCTAGCTGTGTCTTAAATTCATCGTGTTCACCGTTTTACTTTCTGCTTGCTAATCTTTTTTTTTTTTTTCTCAGGCTCCTGTCCATGTTGGAGATTCATTTCTCATCGCCACCTGTCGTTTACCCTCCATTTGACATATTCAGCTCACTGAAATCCCTCTCGCTTAACCTTCACAAGCCTGCCTCACACGTTCCCTCCCTCGGTCTCTGCGCCTCTTTGACTTCCCTCACCCTCTCGAGTTCCAACGATCTCCAACTCTCCAAACTTGCTTCCTCCTCCTCCCCTCTTCCCCCCTTACGGTCTCTCACTCTCCATTTTTCACTTCTCACACGCTCTTTATCATCTCTCGCGTCCTTTCCCAACCTTGCATCACTTTCCTTCCACTCGTGTATAGGGCTGGATGTCAGTGATCTGCAAGCTCTTGCCTGCTCTCTTCACAGCCTCACACACTTGACACTAGACAGCTGCCCTTTGGTCTCAAGTTCAGGTGTAGCAGCAATTGCTGAGAGCAACCCAAAGCTCACGTCTCTCGTTTTGCAACGAGTTTCACATCTTCTACTCAGTCCAGCGCGGTTAAAGGGTTTACTTGCGTGCTGTCCCCAGCTTTCTTCGCTTAGCCTTCCTAGTAGACTTGTAATTCATCCCAGTTTGCTTGCAGACTGCAGCAGTCTTCAGAGTCTTTCCATCAAAGAAGGAAGCGGGTCGCTAGAGGGCTTGGCTTTGATGCTGCTGCGGGTAGAGAAGGCAAGCACAGATGGAGGGAACAGCTTGAAGCAGGAGGCGGCTGGAAATGGGGAAGGTGTAAGGCAGGGGGGAGGGAGATGCGGCAAGGAGGTCAATAAGGCATTGCTATGGGGACGAAGAGGCTATCTGGTTCGTGCAGCTGCTAATGCTGCTCGACAAAACACGGAATCGGCTTTGAGGCAGTGGCGTGACTTGCATGAACACTGTACGTGTAGGGATGGATCGGTGGAATGGGAGCTGTCGAGAGATGTACGCATGTTTGAGGAGAGAGGCCAAGCAGGTTCGCCTTTTAGAATTGAGGTTTCACTAGCTCATTTCAAGCTGAAGATCGTTGGTTGTGGTCTCCTAAGGCAGGTGCATGACGAAGCTGCAGCTGCCTTGGGAGGGCGAGGAGGCTTTAAAGAGACTTCTCTTGGCTGCTGACGACTCATCAGCTTTTATTCTGAGGCCTGGTGAGGCAGCAAGAGCAGTGGAATCAGCAGAACCAGCAGCAGTACCAGCAGCAGCGGCAGCTCCAGAATCGACGGAAGTATTACCATCAGAACAGGAGCAGTTTGAGAGTAACCTCAACGCGCTGAGAGCAATGTCCAGCCAGGTTAGGGCAGTAGATCAGACTCTTCGCGATCCTGCTCCAGACCTGGTTTCGAGGCCCACATCACCTGAGCTGCATCTGTCCGGCAGTCTGACGGTGGAAGCACATGGCATACAAAGCCCAGGTGAAGTTGTAACAGTCAATTTCTCGGGCCCTCTGCTTCGATCCTTGTCCGTGACTGCTTTCCGTTTTTTCCGCTCAACAGAAGTAGCCCGGTGGTGTTCCTTCCGCGGATGCACCAGCGGCGCCAGCAGCATGGGGACGCGGTCGGGCTCACTGTGGGGGTGACGGCGCTGCTCTTTGTAACACGTTACAGTGAGCTGCAGCGTCACCTGCACGGTCAGATGTGATGTGTTTAGATGTGTTGCGATGCAGTGTGGTGTGACTGGATAGGATGGAATGGGAATGGGATGGAATGGGAATGGGATGGAATGGGATGGGATGGGATGGGATGGGATGGGATGGGATGGGATGGGATGGGATGGGATGGGATGGGGTGGGATTGATGTGATTGTACGAGATGCATGCAGAGCAGAAATAGGACCCAGCGCCATTGGCCGCACCACCACCCACATCCTCGCCCTCCTTCCCTCCTGTCTTCTCTCGCCTCTTTCCTCCTCGCTTCCTCCCTGCTTTCCTCCCCGCTTTCCACCTCACCACTTCCTTTCTCCGCGCATCCTTACCTTTCCTTTGTCTTGGTTTGCTGTGCACCCACTTCTCTTCAGATCCGCCTGGACATAACATGATGCATCCCTACCATGCTCGCTCTTCTCTCCCTCCACCCATGCCTCAGCAGCTCTTCCTGTGCAGCGTGGGCGTTTCAAGGCGTTGCGGGAGTGCAAGGGAGCGTGTAGCAGTGCGGAGAGGCATGGCTGTGGTGCTGCATGAGCGCCGTCACAGTTTCCCTCCCATCTCCTTCATTTAACCGCTCGTGCCAACAGGTAGAGTTTGGGTGTGGTTCAGATGGCAAGGAATTTCACATTGGGTTGGTTAATTTCACGTGCACAGGGGGGATGGAAATAGACAGGGGGGATTCGTCTGGGCGGAGAGGGGCTTATTAAAATGGTTTGCATTGTCGTCAGTAGCTCACTCCCACAGACTGCCTTTCCTCCTCACTCTCTCCTCCTCATCGCACATTCCCCTGCCTCCCTCTTTTTTTGCACCACCCTCCCCCAAGCGTGCAGGCAGGGACGATGCAACCTGTTTCACGCCATGCCATTTAACTCTCTCCGCTCCACTTGTCAGTCCTTTCTTCGCAGCTGCCTTGTATTGCTGTTTCCATGTTCGCTCCTTGTGTGCCTGCTGGGTCACTCCGTTGCTCCCCCGTCTGTGTTATCGTGTCTCTGCCCCCACCGAAGCAAACGTGCTGGCGGCTCACATCCTTGGGTGCTTCTCATGCCGCCTCTCGCCCGCCCAACCACTTCGCTCGTCACTGCTGCCACTCTGCAGGTTAGATTTGGTAGTATGTACCTAGTGGGAGGGCATTGGCAGACCTTCCTTATTTCATGGCACGTAGTATAGTGTGCAGGAGCTACACTGCAAGTTGAAAGAGATTGATGGGTGCAGACTTTATCAATGGTAACATGTGTTTGTCAAGATCCGAGAAGCAGTAGATCGCACGTAGGCGCATACACCAGACCTGCCATGGCAAGTACTGGTAAATGCCATACGCACGAGTCTACACATGCGCGGTCGTCATTTGTATCTCAGCATCAAGCCTGCGAATTGCATGCCTGCCATGGGCAGCACAGAGAACCTGACCTCGTGCTCTTCCTCCTATCGCTCGCAGTAGCCCACACAGCACTGCATCAACTTTCTGGCGCTTGATCTGGTTCATATGCTGGATGTGGTCCAGTCGCTTCAGTCGCTTCAGTCGCTTCAGTCGCTTCAGGCGCTTCAGGCGCTTCCTCCATCCGTCACCCTTCTCTACTGCCCCTTCCTCCCCTTTCCCCATCTTGAGAGAAGGGGCCATCGTATGAGCGGGCAGTGCAGCGTATGAGCGGGCGGTGCAGCGTATGAGCGGGCGGTGCAGCGTATGAGCGGGCGGTGCAGCGTATGAGCGGGCGGTGCAGCGTATGAGCGGGCGGTGCAGCGTATGAGCGGGCGGTGCAGCGTATGAGCGGGCGGTGCAGCGTATGAGCGGGCGGTGCAGCGTATGAGCGGGCGGTGCAGCGTATGAGCGGGCGGTGCAGCGTGTGAGCGGGCGGTGGAGCGTGTGAGCGGGCGGTGCAGCGTGTGAGCGGGCGGTGCAGCGTGTGAGCGGGCGGTGCAGCGTGTGAGCGGGCGGTGCAGCGTGTGAGCGGGCGGTGCAGCGTGTGAGCGGGCGGTGGAGCGTGTGAGCGGGCGGTGCAGCGTGTGAGCGGGCGGTGCACCGTATGAGCGGGCGGTGCAGCGTGTGAGCGGGCGGTGCAGCGTGTGAGCGGGCGGTGCAGCGTGTGAGCGGGCGGTGCAGCGTGTGAGCGCGCGGTGCAGCGGATGAGCGGGCGGTGCAGTGTATGAGCGGGCGGTGCAGCGTGTGAGCGGGCGGTGCAGCGTGTGAGCGGGCGGTGCAGCGTGTGAGTGGGCGGTGCAGCGTGTGAGCGGGCGGTGCAGCGTGTGAGCGGGCGGTGCAGCGTGTGAGCGGGCGGTGCAGCGTGTGAGCGGGCGGTGCAGCGTACGAGCGGGCGGAGTCGCTTGTGAAGAGACACGAGAAGGTGCTGTGGGGTGGTTGGGGGGTTGGGGGGTTGGGTGGGGGGTTTGATGGATGATTTCAGGGTTGCGTGGGTGAGGGGATGGGTGCGTGGATGGGTGGGTAGGTGGCTGGGCAAGCAGAAGAGCAATCAACACAGTGCTACTGGCAGCATGCGTGGGTGGTGAAGTCGCGTGGCAAGGAGAAGAGCGTTAGCGAGGAGAATTTGGGTGGCTAAGTTGGGTGCTCGCGTGCCTAAACCCTGGGTGCATCTGGTAGCGCATCGAGACATATCACACAGGAATTAAAACAGCCTCCTTTGTGGCATATCTGACCACCCCGTTCCATCAATTCTCACCCCTCGCTCCCCCTTCCCCTCTCCGTGTCCCTCTCCTTGTCCCTCTCCTTTTTTTCTCCCTCTCTTCTGCCTCTCCACTTTCCCCGTTGCATCCCCTCTCCACTCTCCTTGTCTCTTATTTTCTCCCTCTCTCCATCCTCCCATCTTCGCCACTTTCCCCATTCCCTCCCCTCTCCCCCCCCCCCCCCCCCCCCCCCCCCCCCGCCCCTTTTCCAACTGTGCTCCCTGCAGGAGCAAGAGAAGCGGGCGCGCAAGAGGGCAGCAGCAGCAGGTGTCCCATACGTGGAAGAGGCAGCAGAGGCGCCAGCAGAGGGCGACGCCCCAGACGACACCACCAGAAGAGCCTCTGCAGCCGAGGAGACCAGCAGAAGAGCAGTTGAGTGAACATATATGAGTTCCAGCTAATCTCACCTTCCCCTCTCCGCTCATATATGATACCAGCGCCGCTGCCAACAGCAAGGGCGACGCGGGCAAGGGCGGAGAGGCAGGCGGGGCTGGTCGAGGAGGGAGCAGCGTGGGCGGCAGGCGCTGGTGGCGCTGAGGAAGAAGAAGAGTGGGTGGATGAGTGGGGGTGCCCTCTGGGGGGTGCTGGGCTGGTTCTTGTTTTGGTCGCTATAATCATCGCTTACCTTGTGGTGAGTGTGGTGCGCTGGTTGTGAGTGTGGTGCGCTGGTTGTGAGTGCGGTGCGCTGGTTGTGAGTGTGGTGCACTGGTTGTGAGTGCGGTGCGCTGGTTGTGAGTGTGCTGAGTGTGGGTGGTTTGGTGATCTAGTGGGAGTGTGAGTGGCCGGCTTCTCTCGCAAGCACACGCATACTCTGCCCTGCACCACACTTGTGCGTCAGGTCAATATACCTGGCTCCCGTTTCCCCCTCGTCTCCCTCCCACCATCTCTTCATGCCTCTGTCCCAAGCAGCAGAAGACACTGAACCCGGCACAGCCCCATAGTTGAGGCTGAAAGCTAGATGCACTGCAGCCTGGCACACGTCACGGCAGTTGGTGCAGTCCAAGTGCTTATACACAAGCAGCATGTTTGCATGAGTTACTTTCTATACACTACAGGAGGAGCACCGTTGCTGTTAGCTCTAGCAAGACTCGTCTGTGGCAATCCATACTCAGTAGCAGATTGTTGCTTGCACCATTGCCCTTCATTGCAGCTACCAATGCACAGGCACTGAATCACTGATCATGGAGCTGTTCTAGTACGTACCAGTGTTCTAATAGTACCATATCATCAAGGAGTGTTATCAACTTTCAACATCTGGTTTCTGCACATCTGGGCACCGGTGAAGCAAACAGGCACACACTTTCTACCGTATCAGAGCCAGAATGTTTGTTCCCAATCAGACGACTTTGTCTATGTACAATGCATACGATGGAAGTTAGCATGTCACCTTTCTGCCGAACCAAGCAACAAAGCACGTCACTGCAAGGCAAGAAAGTTAGCGCACAGCATAACTGGCCTACCGTATCAGGGTACATTCCGCTGTGGACACATGTCCCAATCGATGTGTCCCAATCGAGTGTACCGCTCCGAACCGAACTAAACCAGAGACGCGAAAATTTCGAAACTAGGGTGCAAATTGGTGTAATACGATGCAGTGCGGTAGAAACGATTGGGACACATCGATTGGGACGTGTCCACAGCGGAATGTACCCTCAATCATCACTCATCCCACCAAGCACCCACACTCAGAACCCAAAATGACCCACCTGCCCAACCCCTGACGCGCACGCGCAAGTGATCGTACCCATCCGATCAAACTCCCCCAAGGCACACCGTCAGGGCAGCACGCACAACGCAGCGGTAGAAGTAAAAGGGTTTTTTATAAAGCTAACGACCGACACGGCCGCCCGCAGCTCCCCTGCCTTGTGCAGCGGCAGCAGCCCGCCCACGAGCGCCGCCCTCCCCGCCACCCCTCTCTACCCCCTCGATGAACATGTCCAATGGGCAGCCCCCCGTGTCCTTGGACGCTCGGATATTGGTAGCTGCGTGGGGAGATATGGGGTGGGTGGGGGGAAGGGGAAGCGTAGGGAGAGATGGAGGATGAGGAGGCTTGTGAGGTGAGAATAGAGGAAACGAGCAGGATCGTGGGAGGAGTGACGGGGATGCGAGGAAGCAAGGGAGTCACGGGAAGTATTGGAGGAGAAAAGGCAATGAAGGCTCGTGAGGGAAAGGCAGAGGCCAGTGAGTGAGCAGATACCGTATAGTTCCGGCTAGAAGACCCCGGGGACTCTCTACAAATGCTGGAAATTGTGCTTGGGTGGACATTACGGCAGCAGCAATTTTTTAAGACCCGGGGTAACCTATTTGTCAATTATCAATCTGATATTTAGGGTGTACGAGTCTATTTGGGGTGGGGGGTCTTATATTCGTAACGAATTCGCGCAAATTTCGCACGTGCGGCGCGTCAGATCCGTGTCAGAATTCGAGTCTGATACAAATTAAGTGTCAGAATTCGAGTCTGACACAAAAAACGTGTCAGAATTCGAATTTACACTATTAAAAGCTGACGCACAATAGCAATTATAACTACTGTATACATAAAAGGGGGGTCTTATGATGACTAGAGGCCAAGGGGGGGTCCTCACAAAATCGGCCACAATAAGAGTCCCCCTACCCATTCAAGAGTCCCGGGGGACCTTCTTACCGGCGGGTCTTCTAGCCGGAACTATATGGTATGCGGAAGAGGTGAATGCGTTTGGCCATTGCATGCGCACCTGCATGTAGGCGTGCTTGTTGATCAACTCCACAATGGCCTCACTGCGCACACCCAAGGCGCACATCCAAGGCGCACACCCAAGGCGCTCAGCACGCTTTCAAGTTGCCCCCATTGCCGTTGTTCGCTAGCGCCGCCACCTGGGAGAAAAAGCATGGGCGAGGGAAAGGTGGACGCTACAAGGTCAGAGAGTACGCGGAAAGCATTATGAAATATCTCTACATACGTATTCAACTGCTGCCAAACCTTGCTCATCCTGCCTTCGAACCATCTGTCTCTTATCTCCCCCTCGCCCCCACTCTCAACCCGTCCCACCCACCCACAAACACAAAACAACCTCCCTCCCCCTCTTCTCCCCACACCCAAGAACACACGCCCCCCTTCTTCCATTCCCGCAACCCACCCCGCCTTCCCCCCCAGCACGGACAATGAAGCGGATGGTTGGGATGAGCGCAACGAGCAGCGAGGCGAAGCAGATGGCGCCAAAGCTCTTGGTGGCGGCGCGGGGCAGCGCGAGGGCGGTGGGGTTGGGCGGCATGTTGCGGCGCAGCAAGCAGTGCGTAGCCGTGGTGCCGCCACCCAAGGGGGTAGTGGCAGCTCAAGTGTGCAGATCCCCACATACGTCGACTCACGGCCATCAGCGTCAGTGGTAAGCCCACGAGTGGGTCCAAGGAATAGCCCTTGCGAACTGCCCTTCACTCGCAACCCCCTTCCCCCTCCCACAACCCCACCCTCCTTCTACCCTCCCCTCCCTCCCCATCCACTCACGGTCGTCAGCATCAGTGGTAGAGTCAACGAGCGAACCCAAGCAGTAGCCCTTGCTGCTCTTTCTGTCCTCCTCGTGCCCCGTAAGCCCACCTCCCTTCCAGGCTCCCTCCGATTCCCCCCACCCCCGGCCCCCCATGGCCATGAGCATCAGTGGAGGAGACAACGAGGTGCCTGCCAGCATCTCCAAAGACACCTTCGCCATCCAGCATCCAGCATCTGCCAGCACAGACACAGTGCAAGAACGATACAATCAGACCACATTGCACTGTACGATTAGCAAGGCTGTCTACCTAGGGACCGGAGGCAGCCCTCAGGGATACTGCAGCACCTTTAACGGAGTCAGCTCCACCCACCTCAGGTACAAGTGAGCCCACGGCAGCCAGTTGAATCAATCTTCCATCGTAGTTGACTTCGATCCCTCCTCACTCTTTGGCTCCGATCCTCCTCAATCCTTTACTCAGATCCCTCCTCACTCCTTGACTCAGATCCCTCCTCACTCCTTGCCTCCGATCCCTCCTCACTCCTTGCCTCCGATCCCTCCTCACTCCTTGCCTCAGATCCCACCTCACTAATTGCGTCAGATCCCTCCTCACTCATTGACTCTGATCCCTCCTCATTCATTGACCGAGGTCCCTCTTCAGTAAGTCGCACGAGATTCGCGGGAAGCGAGAGAATGGAGGTGTCACGAAGTATGAGCTGCTGCAGCTGGGACAGACACTCAGGGAGCTCCTGCAAGGGGTCGCAGTTAATCAGCTCCAGTTTGCGCAGCCGACACAAGCAGCTCATGCCTTGAGGTAGTGATGCCAGCGAAAGCCCTTGAAGCGTGAGTGACGTCAGCGAGGTGAGCTCCAGTACGATTCCCGGCAATTCCTCTGAATAACAATAAAGCTTCAGCTCCCGCAACTGCGGCAACGCTGCCGCCATGTTTTCCGGGGGTCTGCAACCTTCACCCACCCTAGTCACCAAGTGGCGCAGGTGGGGGAGAACGGGCAGGGGGGTCGGCAACTCCGAACCTTCAAACAGCCGCAGCCGCTCCAGCTGCTCTAGGCACGGCAGCCTCCCGCTTTCTGCAGGCCCGCACTGCACCCTAACGCCGCTCAGTTCCAGCTCTCTCAGCTGCGGCAGCTGGGAGATGTCGATGACGTGGGAAGAGCCTCTTGCAAAGTCGCCCAAATAGAGGGTCTGAAGAGAGCTTGGCAGACTGGCAGGAGGTCTACTGAGCCTGGTACAGTCCGATATCTTCAGCGACTTAAGCCCCACGAGAATATCCAGCCTCGAGGGTACTTCAGAAAGTTCGCTGTTCTCCAAGGTTTGAAGCCCAGTGAGCTGTAAGACTGATACAGGTAGCGCGTGGATTGAACTGGCTCGAATCTTCAGCTCCCCCAGGGCTTCCGGCAGCTGGACTTCTCGCGCGCAGGAATCCAGCTCAAGGCTCGTCAAGGAAGAGAGCTCCGTGAATGAAGCAGGGAAGGGCTCTCTATAATAAGCCAACATAAGAGCCTCCAGACTTGCAAGGGCCCCTACGTCTTCTGGCAAGGCAAGACTGGATTCGGCGATGCAGAAATTCTTGAGAGCTGTGAGGCCGCTGAAACCTGGTGGCAGCTGGTGAAGCTCGTCGCATCCAGCTACAAAGAGTGACTCGAGAGATGTGAGATTGCAGAAGGAAGGAGGAAGTTCCGAGAGAGACAAATACTCCAGCACCAGCATTTTGAGGGCAGGCAGGTCACCAAAGTTGCTGGGTAAAGTAACAAGATCGCAACTATAGAGTACGAGAGTTTGCAAGCAGCTGAGAGATGCGAAGCTTTCAGGCAGGTGGACGAGACCACACTCGCGAACGGTCAGCTTGTGAAGGCGAGGCAACAAAACATTGATATGGTCAGGAAGGCTCGTCAGCCCTTGGCAGTTGGTAATGAGCAGCTCTTCGAGACCAGTGACAGGCAATGATGGTGGGAAGATGGTGTCAAACGAAGGACAAGTAACCGCAAAAGTGAGGGCCTTGAGGCAAGGCGGCAGCACTATGCTTGCAGCAACCGTCAAGGGCTGAAGCTCCTGGTATACGGCAAAGGTGGTTAAATGAGAGAGGTGTGGGAGGCGAAGGAGGGTGGCCAGGTGGTGAAGAGTCCAGGGGAAGGTGACAGAGACGGTGGTCAGGGCTGTAAGCTTTGCAAAATCGGGATTCTCCAAGGCCCATTTGTCGTTGAGGATAAGGGTGCGGAGATGGCTCATATCAAAGAAGGATCCCGGCAGCTCTTTTGTTTGGATAGGGCAGAAAAGGGAAAGCTACTCTAAGCTAGGGAGTTTCAGGAAGAAGAAATCCAATCCGTCGGTAGAGATGGGATGCTCCTCCTTCCTAATATAATGTTTAAAACTGATATTATCCTGGGGGTCCCCTGCAAAAGTCCTTCCTACGTGGAGAGTCGTCAACTTAGGGCATGATAACGCGAGGTGTTTAAGGAAGGCGCCGTTGAGCGTCTGGACGCTGTTGTCGCTGAGATGCAGTTGGGTGAGGTTGGGGAAGCACGCAACGGCGGCTGAGAGGTCCTCGAGAAACACACGGACGTCCTCTTTGACCAAGAGCGTTGTCACGTGACCCTTCGCCGGGCGACGCCAACGCTGGCAGACGGACGAGATGAAGAGATTCTGAGCCACGTCTGCGTCTGGAGGAGGGGCTGGTATAGGCGTCTTGAATTCCAGACCCGCATGTGATCTATTTGTGTCATTATTGCGGTCCCAGACATCAGTGAAAGGAGGAATCCACAAAGTACCGATGTAGCATCCGCGTGGATCAGAATCAGAATTGAACGACCGCCTCAGATTTATTAGGAGAAGTTCGTCCGGTAGGCTATTGATGCTCGTCTGAGGCTTCATCGTGCTAATTTGAAGGTAAGGAATGCTAATCTATCGGATGATGTGCTAAGGAGAGGTACTAACGGAATCACGAGGGAAACCAATCAGCGGAGTAGATGGGTACTAACGGAGTGGGTCTAGATCTGCCAAATAGACTAGCACTCTCCTTACATGTGCGATCTGCTCATGAGTGGACAAATGAACGAAGGTGGGAGTAGAGCAACAGAAGGGAGGACAAGGTGATGCAAGTGCAATCAAGGAAGGACGGCGTGTTTGACATAAGAGCTTCCTTCCTCATGACGACACTAGGTTCGACAAGTGATGCAGCAATGGCGCAGGAAAAAACAAATCTGCATGAACGGCTGGTCCGAGAAACCTGGGTCACTAGGTTCGAATCTGTTCTGCCAAACCAGGAAGAGCCTGCCTCTTCGATTCACTTGACCCCTGCTGTTTGTATGCAGGCATTCTGCGGGCCACAGACTACGAATGAAGCAAGAACTCTGACACGAGTCGTTTCCTAGATTTTGCGTTCCCGCACTGGACTCGTACGTGTCGAACGAGGGAAGAAAGCGATTGGGAATGGAACTTTCGAGGAAAAAAATATTGACGTGAATATCGTATCTCGCTGTGAGCTGTAGAAATGACTTCGCCAGAGAAACCGAAGCACACCGGTTGCTTTGCCAGCTAAGGGCGGGTCAGGCAGGGCTCACTCTTATAACTTTTTTTTCATTTCAGTTACCCGATTTTTCGTGTGTAACCGAACTTCTAAAGCTCCTTCGAAAATGGCGAAAACGAGCCCTACCTGACCCGCCCTAACGATCGGATCTGCGATGGACATCACTAAGGCAGAAATTACTCGCTCGTAACTGCCCCTGCAAAAAGTTCTCAATTCCTCGCGGATCGCGCGCCTTTTCCGCCCTTCTTTCCCAAGCCAGCTGTGAACTTTCGCCGCGATAGGAGCAGGTGGGGGCATGTGGGGCAGAGGAGACGGCGGAGCGCAGGCGAGGCGCGGTGGATGAGGCGCGCGGCTGGCAGGGCCCCACTCTACGCGCACTCCACCTCCTTACTGCTCCTTCAACCTCCTCCTCTTCGCCTTCCCGCGCGCTCTTTCCTCGCCGCCTTCCCGCCCCTAGCCATGCACTGCGCCGCGCCCGCGCCACCGCTCTGCAACGCCCCGCCCCCCGCCCTCTCGCCTTGGCCCGCCTCGCCGTCACCCGCCCCTCGCAGCGTCGCGCGCAGCCCTTCCGCTGCCGCGCCTGCTCCGACCGCTGCTGCCCGCACTGCCCACCATGCCGCGCGCCTCGAGAAGCGCGCCTGTCGCCCGCTCTTATGCCTCGCTGCCCGCCAGTCCATGCGCGCCCCTTCCCCCATACTACCGTACCTGTCCGCGCGGCACCTCCTCGCCCCGCGCGCGCCCTCCGCCACCAGCAGTGCCCCACACTACTCCGCGCGCTCATGCGTGGTGGGCGCCGACTGGGGGAGCAGTGCGGGTAATGCGCAGGGGGGGGCGGCCACGTGGGGAAGAGCGAGGTGGCGGTGGGAGGGGCGGGCGGCGCAGAGTGGTGGGGGGCTGGAAAGGCTGTGGATGAGGGGGCGGCTGGTGGGTGCTCACACGGCGTACGGGCAGGCGAGAAGCACACATGCGGTGACGGCACCGGGGGCAGGGGGGGAGAGCGACGAGGCGCAGGGGCGAGGGCAAGCGCAAGAGCAGGTGGCGCAGGCTCAGGAGCAGCAGCAGGTGGGCGCAGCGGGGGAGGGGGAGGCGGGGGGCAGGGAGGAGGCATCGGCAGCAGCAACGCCAGCGTCGCGTGCGGAGGTGCAGCAGGCAGGCGCAGTAGAGGGAGCGTGGCAGGCGGGTGGTGGTGGCAATGGCAGTGCAGGCCTTGCACCCAGCTCCTCGCCCTCGCACGTGGCGGTGCATGGCGCTGTGCAGGCTGCGCGTGGGTGGGAGGGGGCGATGGCAGCGCGGGCAGCAGGAGTGGACGCAAAGAAGAGGCTGGCGGCTCAAGTGGCGCGTAGGCACGCCCAACGAGGCCCTTTTGCGCCCCTGCATGGCGGGGAGAGTGGTGCTCCCGGTGGGCGTGCAGGCGTGGCAGCGATGGGCAGGGCGGGAGAAGGGGAGAGGAGCAGTGCAGGTGCACAGCACAGCGGTGGCGGCAGCACGAGCAGGAGGCACAGCAGTTGGCGCAGGGTGAACGGCAGCGCTGCTGGCCCGCAAGCATCCATGGCAGCAGGCGTGGCGGTGCATGGGTACAGGCCTGGCGGTGGCGCCCCGCACAGCTCAGGGACGCGCAGTGGCGAGGCGGAGAGGCATGGCTACAGTGGCCATGCCTCGCACGCCCCTTATGCCCCTCGTGCTGCCCTGCCGCAACACAGGAAGCACAGGTCCCATCAGCACAGGCAGCGCGCAGCAGAGGAGCCGCAGGTTGAGCTGGTGGGCACGGTGACGCGCGTGGTGGCAGAGAGCAACGGGTGGATGGCCTTCAAACTCAATGTCTCCACCATGCTCTCTCACCCCACAGAGCTTCCAGGGGCGCACGTGCAGCCTGGCAACGATTCACGTGCAGCAGAGGCGCGGGCGGGCAGCACGGCAGGGGAGGGTGTGGCTGCTTTGAGTGTTGAAGAGGGCGGGAGTGTGGAGCGCGCAAGAGCAGCAGCGTTGGTGGCGCGGGGTGGGGGCGAGGGGCTGAGCGAGGAGGAGAGGGCGACCCTACGGCTTCACATGCTAGCGGGGCAGTTGGCAGTGGTGGGCGTGGTGGGGAGTGTGAAGGCCGGGCAGCAGCTGCGCGTGATGGGGCGGTGGGTGAGCAGCAAGTATGGCCCACAGCTTAAAGCGAGAGAGGCGCACGCAGTGCTGCCCCAGGAGACGGAGGACATAGAAACGTCAGTGCTGCACTGCTCCCTCTTATACCTGCATCGCTCAACGCACGCTCCGCTTCCCACACTCCCGTCCTCACCTTGCATCGTCGTGACCTCTTTGTTCTCCACGGCTCTCCATGATCCATGCCTTGGCCGCCACCCCGTGCTGCATGTCTTGGCCCACTCCATGCTGCGTGCCGTACCTCACCGCACAGGTACCTAGCGGAGCTGCTCGAGCTGCTCCCAGGCGTGGGCCCGTGTTTGAGAATTCTCAAAAACCGTGCTGTGCCTCGCCCTCACAGGTACCTAGCGGAGCTGCTCCCAGGCGTGGGCCCCAAGACAGCCAGGGCACTGCTGGACCACTTTGGTGCCGGCGTCTATGACACGCTCAACAGCTCTAAGGCCATCACATTGCTGCAAGAGGTGCGCAGGGGAGGCACGTGCGCATGCTTGCATGTGCGTGTTGTGTGGTGGGGTGGGGTGGGGTGGGGTGGGGTGGGGTGGGGTGGGGTGGGGTGGGATGGGTGGCACCACCTGTGACACCATGCATTGCCGTGTCATTGCGTGTCATGGTTTGTGGACGAAATAACTCCCGTGTTCATTCCTAACCCTCCTGTATTATTATGCCTGTGCCTTGTCGTGTTGTGTCCTGTCCCATGGCGCGTGGCATGAGACTGGCATGGCATCAGGTGCCTGGCATAGGGAAACTGACAGCGAAGCGCATCAAGACAGCATGGGACAAGGCGAGGACAATGCGGGAGGGGCACAACCAGCTGGTGCAGCTGGGCATTCCCCCCCTGGCCGTCGTGGAGCTCAGTGAGTGCTGCTGCACTGCACGCCTCTCTCTCTCTCCCACGCCCTCCCCATCATACAGCATCCAATCCAACCCTCTGCTCTGCCATGATGACTGATGACCGCTCATCCATGTCGCTGCAGGGACTTTTAACAACTCTCGAGAATTCCCTGCAACTCATCCATGCCTACCTGCGCCCTCCCTGCTCTTGCCCTGCCCCCCCACTGCCGTGATCCCCTCTCTCCCTTGGGCAGTAAGGCAGCACCCAATGGACGCAGTGAGTGTGGTGCAGGCGGACCCCTGGGCTGCACTGCAGGCCGTCCCGGGCGTGCCGTTCGACCTGATCGACTCCGTGGCTCGCAAGCTGGGCTGCTCCCCCGCGCACCCCTCGCGCCCTTGCGCTCTGCTGCAGGCGTCGCTCGTGGACCTCTGCCCCAACAACTGCCATGTGTTTGTCCCCTGGTCGCTCCTGCTGCGCTACGCCGTCCGGCTGCTCGCTTCCTGCCACGAGGAAGACCCGTATGAAGGCGGCCAGGGGGAGGAGTGGCAGCAGCAGCAGCAGCAGGAGGCGTGGGAGTGGGGCAGGGCGATGGAGGAGGGGCGGCTGGAGGAGGCGATGGGGGAGCTGCAGAGGAGGGGCGTGGTGGTGGTGGAGAGAGCCGAGGACGATGGCAGCAACGGGCGTGCAGGGCGTGCAGCGAGCAATGGTGGCAGTGGGAGCAGTGGGAGCAGTGGGAGTAGCTCTGGGTGGAGCGATGCGAGTGGGTGGAGTAGTGGCAGTGAGGGTAGCGGGAGTGAGGGCAGTGGGGACGGGGAGTGGGAGGGGGGAGTGCGTGGGGAGCAGTCAAGCACAGAGGGCGGAGGGCCAGCATTGGGGCGCAATGACCGATGCTACCTCGCATGGATGCTACAGGCTGAGGTTCGTTTCGTCCTTGCGCTCTCTTCTCTTCTCTTCTCTTCTCTTCTCTTCTCTTCTCTTCTCTTCTCTTCTCTTCTCTTCTCTTCTCTTCTCTTCTCTTCTCTTCTCTTCTCTCTTGCTCGTGAATCCATACAGCCCTGAGCGCTGCTATGGGGACTTGAACTCGTCCCAATAACAGCGCCACCACCACCCTCTGTCGCCGACTCACCACACTTTGTCGCCGGCCCACCACCCCTTGTCCCGCACACTCCCTCCCCCCCTCTTGCGGTGCATGGCAGAGGGAGGTGGCGCAGCAGATGGCGGTGAGGGCGAGCCGGGGCGTGCACGAGGCGGAGCAGCTGCAGCACGTGCGCGAGTGGGTGCGGCAAGAGGAGGGGCACGCAGAGCAGCACCTCACGGCGCAGCAGTGTGCCGCGGTGGAGGCAGCGGCGCTAGCACACGTGATGGTGCTCACGGGGGGGCCTGGCTGTGGCAAGACGTACACCACTCGCCTCATCACTCGCCTCTGGACCGCTCAGGGCAAGCAGGTGCGGCTGGCACCCCGCACGCTCTTCCACGCACATTAGATTGCAACCTGCAAGTGCCCTCTCACTGCCATCTGCCTCCGCCTTGCTTTATTCTCCCCGCCCTGCTATGTGCGCTGCTATCTGCCCGCCTCCCACCACCCCTATGCCTGCGCCCTCTCAGGTGATGCTGTGCGCGCCTACAGGGCGGGCAGCGCAGCGGCTGGAGGAGGCGACGAAGCAGAAGGCGCATACCATTCACAAGCTGCTGGGATACTCCTCCAATGCTGCGGACCAAGAGCTTGCTGCTGCTATGGGTGGCGCAGGCGTGGGTGGGGCGGGCATGGTGTGCGATGATGCACTGGGCAACGACCTGCCGTTATTCAACCACAACAAGGACAACCCTCTCAAGGTGCGCCACGCACCCTTCAACGTGTAATGAGTCGTGTTTTGAGTCAAGACTCAACACACGCACTGGGCAACGACCTGCTGTTGTTCAACCACAACAAGGACAACCCCCTCAAGGTGCGCTCCCCTCAAATTGCCGTGCCGTGCCACCCACATCCATCAGCATACAAGTGGCTCCCTCCCTTCCTGCCTGCTGTCTTGTCGAGCTGGTGTATTCTCTTGTGCCCCCAACTGCACAGTCACTTGCGCTCGTTCAGTGATGCCCCGGTGTGTGTGTGCTACGGCATGTGAGCAGGCGGACGCCATAATAGTGGACGAGGCGTCGATGCTGGATGTGCCGCTGGTGGCAGCGCTGCTAGCAGCGTGCCCTCCGGACTGCCGGATCCTCTTCGTGGGGGACAAGGACCAGCTGCCACCCGTCGGACCCGGCAAGTTTCTCGCTGATATCATGGGGTGCGTGCTCCTCTACCTTGTACCATACTCGTTGCACAGCCCTCTTATCCCTGCATTTCTCCTTGTCCTTACCAAAAGAATGCTTCCCATGCTCATTTCGAAATCTCTTTCGCTTGCTATGCTGCCAGGATCACCTATCCTTGTGCGTGGGACCTCTAAATCCCGCACTCTATGCTGAGCACTCTATGCTGAGCACTCTATGCTGAGCACTCTATGCTGAGCACTCTATGCTGAGCACTCTATGCTGAGCACTCTATGCTGAGCACTCTATGCTGAGCACTCTATGCTGAGCACTCTATGCTGAGCACTCTATGCTGAGCACTCTATGCTGAGCACTCTATGCTGAGCACTCTATGCTGAGCACTCTATGCTGAGCACTCTATGCTGAGCACTCTATGCTGAGCACTCTATGCTGAGCACTCTATGCTGAGCACTCTATGCTGAGCACTCTATGCTGAGCACTCTATGCTGAGCACTCTATGCTGAGCACTCTATGCTGAGCACTCTATGCTGAGCACTCTATGCTGAGCACTCTATGCTGAGCACTCTATGCTGAGCACTCTATGCTGAGCACTCTATGCTGAGCACTCTATGCTGAGCACTCTATGCTGAGCACTCTATGCTGAGCACTCTATGCTGAGCACTCTATGCTGAGCACTCTATGCTGAGCACTCTATGCTGAGCACTCTATGCTGAGCACTCTATGCTGAGCCCTCTATGCTGAGCCCTCTATGCTGAGCACTCTATGCTGAGCACTCTATGCTGAGCCCTCTATGCTGAGCCCTCTATGCTGAGCCCTCTATGCTGAGCCTGTGCCTGTTATGTGTATGTGAGCGGGGGAGCAGGTGTGGGTTTGTGAAGGTGCATCGGCTGACGCACATATTCCGACAGGCGCAGCAGTCGCACATAGTGCAGCACGCCCACGCCATCCTCAACGGCTTGCGCCCCTCCTTCTACGCGCCCTGGCCTCGCTTCCATTCTGCTGCCGTCGCCTCTGCCCTCTCCTCCTTGCCTCCCCCCCCTCCCCCCCCCCCGCCCCACCACCACCACCACCACCACCACCACCACGGATGCTGATGCATCTGCTCCCTTGCTCCCCGCTGCTGCTCTTCGTGCGGAGAGTGCTGGAGAGGGTGACCAGTGGTGGACCAGTCTCACCTCCGACTGTGTGCTCTTGCACGTGCGTCCCACCTAAACCCCTCGTATTTCGTTGTCCCTCATTTCCCGGCTTATTCCCATTCTTGTTCCTGCGCTTCTCCACCCATGAATTCCCCTCGGTAGTTCTCGTGGCCCATGTTTCTTCTCCTCTCACTCCTCTCGCGTGACTCTCTCTCTTGCCTCTCCCCTTTTTGATTATTAAACCATGTAACGCCCATTTTCTCCCCATCCATCCATTCACACTCTTTTCCATCTCTCCTTGACGCTGTTCACTCTCCTCCCTTTCCTACCCAACTCAATCCCCTCTCCACCTCCCCCATCGTGCCCTGGGCAGGCGCGGACGCACGGGGAGATGGAAGTGGTGATGCAGCATGTGCTCACGCGCGTGCTGCCGCACCTCACAGCATCACCACGGGACGACGTGCAGGTGCTGGCGCCCGTGCAGCGCGGCCACTTCGGCGTCATGCTCCTCAACTCCGTGAGTGCACCACACACCCACTCTCACGGCTGTAATGCACGGGCTCTCTGGGGGCTGTAATACACAGGCGCTATGGGTGCTGCCATGCGCTGCCGCACTGTGGGGTCGAGGGTGAGGGGGGCAGCTTAGGAAGTGGAAGGAGAAGCGAACACGAGAGGCAGAGTAACATGTATTTATGAGCAAGGGGAGGAGGTACTGAGATGACTTTTCCGTGCATCATACTACCCGCCCTCCTTCTGGCAGCGTCTGCAGCAGCTATTGAACCCGCCTTGCAGCAGCAAGAGGGAGCACCGCGTGGGGCCAGACATGGTGTTCCGAGAGGGCGATAGGGTCATTCAGCTGGTGAGTCGCTCAGTTAGCCATGGGCAGTCCATCAGTAGTCACATGAGCATCCCACCACAACCCCGCCAACACTGCTCACACTCAAAGCGCAAGCCAAGCCTGCATGCGCCAATGCTCCTCTCTCTCTCCACCGTCTCACTGTCATGCGCCCTGCCTGTGTTTGCGTGTGTGTGCATGGGTGCCATGGGGCGAGTAGCGCAACGACTACATGTTGGATGTGAGCAACGGCGACCTAGGGATCATCACCAGGATCGTCCACGGCGATAAGAAGGTGCGCCCCACCCCTGTTGAAACAGCAGGCTAAAACGATAAACAGGAAAGAGGGGTTTTCACTAGCAGCAGTTGAGATACATATAGGAAACCCTAATTGGGTTGTACTCGCTATAGAGTACCCCACTGCAGGCTAGACAAACATCGACATTCTGACACACCCCCATAGTCAAAGTGGGGTACAATCAACACAACAAGCAAGCAGAGCAATAGTTCACACGGATAAGCAAAACTAGAGAGGCTATCACAGAGGGCAAGTGAGGAGGAGGAGAAACTGTGGGGGCGAGAAGATGCGAGACGATGGCTGAAGCTGCAGACACACGGGCAACAGGAGTGCGCAGCACTGTCGCTACCAGGCTAGAACCCGGACTACACGGCGACAGACGCAGCTGGCTCGCTGTGCTCTTAGGAGTGCTCACACTGTGGCTACCGGGCGCAGAGCCCCGGACTACACGGCCACAGGGGGTCGTGGCTCTCTGGATACCAGGAGTGCTCACACTGTGGCTACCAGGTCAGAGCCCTGGACTACACGGCCACAGGGGGTCGTGGCTCTCTGGACTTCAGGCACTGCGGACGACAAGACGACTGCCTCCACACAACTTCCCCCAGATGTCCCACACCTCTTTCACACACTCCATGCTGCACCTCTAGCACTGCTCACACGCCACCCCCCTCGTACCACTCCGACGGCTCCAACACATCCACCCCCCTCAGCGGCAGCTGCAGCAGTGGGAGACGGAGGAGGAGGAGGAGCAGGGGACGGCTCACACACCCGGCACCCCCATACTCTCCACCCCCAAACCCTAACACAGGAGCGCGGGCAGCAACGGGGGTGGGGCGCGGTCAGAAGTTCGGGACGAACCGCACGCGGGCTGCCCAGGCCGCGCGCGGGCTTGGCGCAGCCCATACGGGCCGCGCGCGGGCTGTACGGGCCGCGCGCGGGCCTGGCGCAGCCCATACGAGTCGCGCGGGCCGCGTCGGGCGACGGGGGGCGACGCGACGGTCGACAGGGGGCGACGCGCGGTTCGACGGGGCAGAAAACCGCCGCGCGCCCTGAGCGCGTGGCGGGAAGAAAAATCGCTGCGCGCCCGGAGCGCGCGGCAGGCAGGAAACAGCACGCGCCCGGGGCGCGCTACATGCAGTAGAGCAGCGAAAGCATCGGGTGGGGTCCACCCACAGGATCGACCCAGGAGGGTCGACCTGCTCTGATAGCATGTCGAAACAGCAGGCTAAAACGATAAACAGGAAAGAGGGGTTTTCACTAGCAGCAGTTGAGATACATATAGAAAACCCTAATTGGGTTGTACTCGCTATAAAGTACCCCGCTGCAGGCTAGACAAACATCGACATTCTGACACCCCCCCCATACAGCGCCGCTGTTTTGAGTTGACTCAAAACACGGCGACCTAGGGATCATCACCGGGATTGTGCACGGTGACAAAAAGGTGCGCCGCGCTTCCATCCCCTCATACAGCGCCGCTTGCCTGTACCAGTGCTCGTGGTTCTGCTGCTGCCTCCTGTGCTCCCTTGCACCAATGCGTGTGTGTGCACACGCTGTGCCGTGTGCCCCCTCCCATGGCCCCTCTCCCTTTGTCCTCGTGCATGTGTGTGTGTGTGCGCGCATGTGTTTTTGTGTGTGTGTGTGTGTGTGTGTGCGCGCGCATGTGTGTGTGTGCGCGCGCGCGTGCACCTGTGTGTGTGAGTGTGTGAGGGCGAGTGAGAGCAGGTGGAGCTGCATGTGGACATGCTATCGGGCAGCACCGCCGCCCCACAGCGAGTCATCTACACCAACGACCATCTCAAACACCTCACTCAAGCATGGGTGCACACAATATGCCTCTCACTCTACTCCATTCCTCATGCTCCCCCCTCCCCCTCCCCCTCCCCCTCCTTCTTTCCCTCGCACTTTCTGTCACCTCGTTCTAGTTCCATGTCTCCCCCTAGCGATGCGCCCTCGTGTCCTGCTTCACCCACACTATCCATCTGCCACTTGCCCTGTTAAACCCAGAAGCTTAGGTCCTCTCCTCTTGCTGCTTCTTCTCATGTGCCAATGAGCCATGTCATCTCCTCGCCAGCTCAGTGCGTGGCCCGGATTATATGTGTGTGTGTGTGGCATGGGTGGTGGCAGAGCATCACGGTGCACAAGGCGCAGGGCAGTGAATACCCCATCGTCATCCTTCCGCTCTCTGCTGACTATGGCAACTTCTTCAGGTCTGCTCCTTGCACCTTGCACTACCATGCACGCATGCACTCATGCACCCACCACCCAACCAATCATCTCTGTCCCACTGCACTCTCTGCACACACAAATCTCCTGCCACGTCATCCCTCAGAACTCATCCATCCCATCCGTGACCCCATGCCCCTGCACCACGTGCGCGTGCCCCAGACGCAACCTTTTGTACACGGGGCTCACGCGTGCACCTTGCGCTTGTACCCAACCATCCCTCTGTGTCGCTCCACTGCACACACCAACTTCCTGCCCCATCATTCGTCTCACATCCACAACTCATGCATCCCATCCCTGCACCATGTGCGCCTGCCCCAGTCGCAACCTGTTGTACACGGGGCTCACGCGAGCACGCAAGTTGGTGTTCCTCATCGGGCGAGAGGAGGAGGCCATGGCAGCGCTGCAGCGCACGCGGCAGGAGCACCGCCACACGCGCTTGCTGCACCGCCTGCTCGAGTACTGGCAGTACTGCACTGGCGACTCCACACACGGGCCCCTCCCACCCTCTCACAGCCCATAGGCTCAAAGTCTCTCCTTTTCTTCTCATTCCCCAGAGTGGAGGGGGGATGTGATACGGTGTAAGATCATACGGTACATAGGTATCTAATGCGAGAGTGAGGCTTCCTGCCAGCCTCCTTATTCATTGCCATCATGCAACGAATTGCCAATGGTTTATGATGGTTCATTCTCTTTCTCACACACATGCCTCCAATAGATTCCTTGTACCATAATTGAGCGCTAACTCTTCCCAATACACAGCCTTTAATAATTACAGCAATATAAGAGGAGGAATAAGGCATGGCGATTTTATGCTGAGTGAGTGGCACATGCATTGTGCATTGTGCGCCCGTGGCTTGAGCTTGGCAAAGTGACAGCAGCACACTGTTGTCGCAATTAGAGCTTGTGGTTGTGGGAGACCAGCACGCAGGCAGCACGATGACCTTGGCCCCACGCTGGCATCTTCCCACGACGGCTACCTCACTCTCGCTCTGCAATGTCATGCAGCTGAGTCACTGCCTGCAATGCTGGCTGCGGATGTGGGTGATCTATCAATGTGTCACATCTGTTAGTGACCGTCATGCATGGCATGGGAGCATGGCATGTGAGCATGGCATAGGAGCATGGCATGGGAGGGGCAACACCACAGCTGCAGCATGGTGGCATGCTGCAGTCACAGGGATGGCGTTGGGGGGCTGGTGGGAGCGGCGGCGAGCATGCGCAGGAGGCGTGGGAGAGTGAGCGCGCCGGGACCAAAGCCGTCAAACACTGCTCGCGCTCCTCTGAACTCCGCCCCTGATGTCATGCTGGCGGACGGCCACGCATGCACGAGGGGGGGTAGTGTGCAAGTAGGAGCACACATAGGGGCATGGGAGGAGTGGGGAGGACAAGGAGTATATTGAGTGGAACGTGAATGAAGGTCCATGTGTGTTGAGTGTGGTGTGCGGAGAGGGAACAGGAATGATAGGCAGGGGAGAAGCAGAGGTGATGTGCATGGCAGGGCGGTGAGTGCATGGCAGGGCGCACCTGCTGCGAACAACACATGCAGTCATGCCCACTTGTCCCGCCATTTGCACCGTGCCCTGACACCCCGCCAGCACCACACACGCTGCCGCCGGCACCCCCACCACCTCCGCTGCTGCTCGCAGCATGGCTACACCCTCCTGTGACTCAGTCCTGCATCAGCACCCCACCGCAGGTGAGACGTGCAGGGCGGGAAGAGGAAGAGGTGCCACGAGTGAGCGGGGTGCTTGGTGTGTGAGAGGCATGTGGGTGTGTACACGGTCTTGCCTGTGCATGCAAGTTGGTCGCACGTGCGCGTGTTGTAAGGTGCGAGAGAGCACGAGAGAGATTGAGATGATAGCGGGATGGGTACGGGGAAGAGAAGAGCGAAATCAGGGAGAAAGGGAAAGGGGAAGGGGAAGGGAAAGGGAAAGGGAAAGGGGAAGGGAAAGGGAAAGGGGAAGGGGAAGGGAAAGGGGAAGGGGAAGGGAAAGGGGAAGGGAAAGGGAAAGGGAAAGGGGAAGGGGAAGGGGAAGGGGAGGAGCACGCACGGGATGTCTAGGTCCACTGTGAGCTTGAGCGTGCGCGCCACCTCCTCCGCTATTCGCCTCTTCTCCACCAACACTGCTCCCGTGTTGATGCCCGCCCCATGCATGCACACACGCATGCACGCACACATGCACACACACGTGCACACACACAAGCTAAGGCAGGAAGACACAGAAGTTTGAGAGGTCACTGCAAGAAGGTGGAACGGTGTAGAGGCAGAGTGTGATGCAGCAACCACTCGCACAAGCAAGGCAGCAGCAGAGCAGCAGACCCACCAGCCTGAGCCATGTGCGCAGCCAGTGCCTCATCCACGCCTGCTGACGCCCCTCCTCCCAGCACCACCTGCCCGAACGCACTCTCCCTCGCCTCCCTCTCGCCCACCACGTGCACCCGCTGCTGCAGCGCCGCTGGCATGCCCCTCAGCACGCCCCTGCACGCACTCACCGAGCAGAATCGGGGGAAAAGGCAGTGGGGGAGGGGGAGGAGGAAGGCAAATTGGGAAGGAAGGCACGTCTCTGGGACCAAAAACCGTGCCAATCCAATGCTCTCAGCACTTAGATCTCGTGTTCTCCCCATCCCACCACACCCACCAGCACCACCACCCTCCCTTTACAGCCAAACGCAGCCCTCGCCCCTTCCTATCCCATCCCCGGGGCCCGGCCCATCTGCCCCTTCCTCTGCCCACCTCGCCGTGTCCTCCCCACTCCGTGCCAGCCCTGCCAGCACTGCCACGTGTACTCCAGCTGTCACCGCGTCCTGTAGAAAGCTGCCACGTCACAGGCACGAGGCAGAGGGTGGGAGGTGAGATCTGGTGCTTGATGTCGGAGGGGATGGGCAGGATGGCGGTGGTAAGGGGGTGGAGAGGGGGAGAGGGTTGGCAGGGTGCTTGCTGGGACGATGGGTGGGGCTCAGAACAGGAGCAAGTGGGAGGTGCTGCGATGCAGGAGAGCAGAGATGACGAAGGGGCATACGCGAAGGAACGGTGGCATGAGCAAGGGCGGACAGAACTAGTGCGACATGGTGTGGAGGAGCGGGTGTGGAGGAGCGTGAGTCAACCAGGGGTAACACACTCCTCCACAGGACAGCACTCCCATCTCCGACCCGGCAGCACAGCATCACTGCCCCAATCTCCAACTAACTGCTCTTCAGCATCCCACCTCCACCTCGGCCACACCCCGCCCTGCCCAGCCCACTCACTCCACGAGTCCGGGCCGCAGCGGCACTGATCCCTGCTGCAGTGCACGCGACAAGGCCTGCTCCTGGAAAGGGAGCAAGGTGGAGAGGGATGCACAACCGCGGCAGAGTGGTGTGGGAATGCAGTGTGGCTTAGGTTGGAAGAGAGAGGGGCCATCGGGAGGGAATGGGTGGATCGGACAGAGGGAAGAAATGACCTGACAGGGTATTGCACGGCACGGCACAGCATGGCATGGCACGGCACAGCACGGCACGGCACGGCACGGCACGGCACGGTATGGCAGGGCATTGGGGGGGCATGGAAGGGCACGTGGTGTGGAGCGCACCTTGAGGTTGAGCAGGCGCTGCAGCAGTGCGTGCTTGGCCTGTGCGTCCAAGGAGGGGATGGGCCACGCTGACTGCATGAGAGGGATGGGCGTAGGGAGGAAGAGACCGAGAGGGAGATAGCGGTCAGCAGATGGTTGGGGAGAACTGGGAGGCAGAGCGGCAAGAAGAAGAGGAGGCAGAGGAGGAGATGGAGATAGACCATGGTGGATAGAGTGGAGCTGTTGCACATGCAACTGGTTTACAGCGAGCACATAATAAGTACAGGAGAGAAGAAAGTGCAGAAACAGAGTGTATAGACACTTGAGGAATTCAAGTGTGTGGGCGGTAAGGGCCGTACAGCATTGAAGTGCGTGGAGAGCAGCAGCTCGAAATTTCCTGCACACTTCCTGATGTCCACACACACACATAGCAGTAGCAACAGCAGCAACAGCAGCAACAGGTGGCAAGGGCATTTTATTACATGGGTGCAAATAAAATATGTTGAATCTCAGTCCAGCTTGTGCTATCATACTTGAAACCACAAATGGTGCTCGGGAGAAAGGGGGGCGGCAAGGTTGGGCGCACCTGTGGAGGTCTCTGTAGCGCGAGGGGGAGAGGCGGTGCGCGTCAAACGCCAGCGACGACAGGGCTGCCCGCGCGGCCAGGGGGAGGGGGAGAGGAGACGGGGGCAGGGCGGAATTACATGGCATGAGAGACGTAGCAGTGTATGGCGATAGAGCGGCGGTGATCGGGCTTGATTGATGCACGGGCGAGTATATGTGGGCATAGCATGGTGTGGTTGCAAGCACTGAGTCAGCACGTGGGCATGAGGTTTGCCCGTGCACGCACCTGAATTGAGGGCTTCCATGTGCCCGTTGCGATGCAGGTCCACCATTACCCTGCCATGCACATGCACGCACACACGCTCACTCACACACTCGCTCATGAACGCACATCATATGCATGCCAGCTATAAATAAAATGAAAGCAGCGCCAGTGCTACCCCGTACCGCACAGCATGCACGCGTCCGCGCATCCAGCATGCACCTATGCCGCGCCCCAACCAGGCATCCGTCCAAGCGCCTCCATTCCGCTCACCCTTCCACGTCCACCAGCAGAGCCACGCCCGCCTGTCGTCCCTCCCCGCGCCACCGCTCCTCGCCGTGCGCCGACGCGACCGCGCTCGCCGCCACTGCTCGTCGCCGCGTCCGCGCGCGCCGGGGTGCAAGCGATGCCTGCGCGCAAGACCACGAAACGCGCGGGTGAGCGCCGACGAGGACGGAAACACGACAGCGTGAGGCGCGCCGAGCTCTCAGGGCGCTCAAGCCCCTGGGGTCGGGGTGCCGTGAGTAATCACAGCGCAAATTGCGGCGAGGGCGCGAAGACTGCTAGTACCGACCTGGCGAGTGGAGCCGCTGGTCGCAGCGAGTGATGACGGCGGTTGAATGCGCGCGCTGTGACGGCTGACGGTGAGCTGCAGGTGTGAGACGCGAGGCGCGGTGGGAACGTGGCACGCCATAGGCGGGGGTTGGCAGGCGCGACTCATCAGAGGAATCGCCGACTCGCTGGCGCCACGGGCGCTCTCGTGCAGAGGAAACTTGCCTTGCCCGTCAAGGAAACTACGGCTAGTGAAGGGTACGTCGCAGGACTACCAAACAGCCGCCAACTTAGAAGATGTGGTTCGTGAGAGTACTGGAGAAAGGCTGCGGCAAATGTAGGCTGGAATTCAAGCATTTGAGCGCTGCACGGCACAAACTGAGTGCACGGGCGGGAACGACGGTTGCGGATGCTGGTGTCGAGCGAGTGAGTTAGTGCGGCGCGACGAAGTTGATTGGTGAGACAGGGGGGACGCACCCAGGCTGACCAATCAAAAGCAGCTGGTCGAACAGAATGTGTGCGTGACGGAGCTCTTATTGGACGAAAAGTGGTGGTTGAGGAAAAACAGAGTGGCACATAGTGAGCCAATAGGAGCTAATTGACTTTCTCACTGTGATATAAGAATTGAATACAGCTGTAATTCAGTCTCCATAAACCCCTTTCTAACAAAACGGAACTGTCACAAAAAGTACAATGAAATCAAGTATGGCACTTGCTATGCAACAAAACATCTAGGTAATCTCTGAAAAAATGTAACACATTCGATGTGGAGTGACTTGTTGAAACCCAACAGGTGGTCATTCAAAATAGACACAGCCACGTGCCCCGGGGAATAACAATGATGGAATGGTGAAGGTGCTGGCATGGAATGAGTGAGGGCGCCTTGTTGAAGGCTCGGACGGGCACAATCAAGCAAGGTATCTGAAGTTGGTGGGGTTCTCTTTGTCACGCTCCAGGTACTCACGCGCAATCAGATCCTCAATTCGCTTCTTGATCACCTTGAAGTCCGGCTGCTCACACACACTCAAGTGGTGCACACATCAGATTCCCTCCGTCACTCCTGCAGCCAAGCGGGTGGCTTGGAGAAGCGCCTGGTACAACTCACGTTCCTTGGAAGAAAAGGTACAAGACGGCAATGAGAGCAAACGGCTGGCGCAGGAGGGGAAGGCGTGTGAGGAGGGGCGTTACCTTGAACATGCGGCCTAGTTGCTCGACGCATTCGAGCACGAGCTGCTGGTGGCCCAGCACCTTGCGGCTCTTCATGATGCGCACGATGGACGCGTCTATGGCGTACCGCCTGTCCTTGTCCACGTCCTCTATCACCTTCTTCTTCTCGTCCATCGGCGGCAGCGGCACCTGCACAGCACCCACACACCACCACACCAGCACACCACCACACCACCACACCACCACATGACAAGGAGGAGCAGGGGACGGGAGAGCACCCACCATGACACAAAAGAGAAGGTTGTGTGAGCCCACTGTGACATGACCTTGGGGCCACTGTAACAACAGCAGCAACACACAGAAAGCACCGCAAGGCTATGGAAACAAGAGAGTGGCGTGCAGGGCAGAGCAGGCAGACAAAGCACTGACCTTGATGCGCCGCATCTTGTCTGTGAAGGACGGGTTGAAAGCGAACACGTCGCTCTGCTCAATGGTCTTCCCAGCCGGCTCCTTCACGAGAATCTTATACTTGGCGCAGGACAGCGAGTGCAGCAAGCGCACAATATCCTCGTCCGTGAGGTTCAGCTGGTTCTTGATGTCGCTGTAGCTCAGGCGCTCAGATGCGTTGAAGAGCAGCAGCACGGCGGCCTGGTACGTGGTGACGATGAGCTCGATGGGCTTGGCCGTGAACTTGCCCGTGATGTTGCACGTGCCCAGTGAGTAGATCCACGTCAGCTTGCGGTGCTTCGTCTTCGTCTGGTAAAACTCCTTGAACACCTCCACACACCGCACCTGATGCCCCATGCCCGCCCACACCACACATGCACACACATGCACGCACGCACACGCACACACATGCACAGTCATACAGCGAGATCATCACAAAGTTTAACACAATGCAAATGACAGAGATGCCCGATGGAAAAGAATCCGGGTGAAGCAGCAAATTCTGCAGCGGAGGGCGAGGCGGGAGGGCGAGGCGGGAAAGAGAGCGCACCATTTCAGCGGGCAGCGCGAGGTCGGAGGACTTGTAGGAGGGCCAGAAGCCGGTGGTGAGCACGGTGACGGTGAGGTCTATGCCCGGACTGTGCCCGGGGTTGTCCGCCAGATACTCCTCAAACGCCGCCTGCTGCTCCCGTGCCAGCGTCAGATCCGTCACCTGTAGAGGGACACACACACATGCACGCACATGTCCACATTGGGCTTCAAACCAGGATCCCTGTATGAGAAAGACGTGCAGCTGGAGTGCAGGAGGGGACGGTGCAGGTGTGTGTGTGTGGAGGAAGGCACGGACCATGCCCTCCATCTTGGAGGTGAACTGGCCCCCGCACTGCTGCTTGAGCTTGGTGAGAATGCTGCGCTCGTGGTCGTCGTTCGCACTCTTGTCAAACAACAGCCGCCGCGCCAGCTTCTTGCTGCCACATGCGTGTGTGTGTTGGGAGGGTGGGGGGGGGGGAGGGGGGGTACCCAGGACGTGAGAGGTGATGAGCAAACAATAACAAATCACGAAGCGCATGCAGAAGGGAAAAGAACTTGCGTAAACACGGAGACGGGGAAAGGATGGATACGGTGGTGAGTGTGCTTGCATGGTGAGTGCGTGACATACCGGTAGAACTCAGCAAACAGATCCTTGTCACTGATGTACGCCAGCAGCTTCACCACCTGCACAGGCAACACAGAGGCGCAAAAGGGGCAAGGAATAGTTGCAACAAAACAGCTGAAATCATGAATGGACAGCTGAAGAGAAGAAAAGAAGCACTGCCACAATGACAACACAACACAATCCCTTACAGAATGTAAACCCCAGCCCCTCACAGCCCATGCCCAGAGATCATACACACACATATACACTCCTTCCCAGTACACACACCCCTCCCCACCAACCTCCCCCTTCCTTTCCCCCTTCTCTCCACTTCCTTCTCCCCCCACCTTCTCGAGCGTGTCTTCAATGGCCTCGTCACTGAGCTTCTCGCTGCCGCCCTTCTTGAGCAGGTTGTCACAGAACGTCGCCAGCAGCTCCGCACTCGTGCTGCCGCCCACGCCCTTGTTGCAAAACGACTCAAACGCCTCCTTCAACGCCTGCTCGCCCCGCAACCCACCCACCCACACACGTTGCCCCACACATACATGCACGCACGCGCGTATGGCATCCAAAACACGGTTAAAGAGGTAATATGACGAGGTGCAGGAAGCAGCGGCAGAGGAGACGCGTGAGAGGGCAACAGAGAGATGCTGACAAAGAAGACCAGCTCAGGGCGTGAAGCTGAGGAGAAATAGAAATGAGTGCTGGGAACAGGAGAAGTACAAGAACATGCAGAGAGAAGAACAGAGCAGGAGGGGGGGAGGAAGGGAGGGGGGAGGGGGGGAGAGAGAGGGGGAGAAAGACAATTGTGAGGGTGAAGGAGGGCAGGGGCGGGGGGGCGACCTTGTGGAAGAGCGAGTGGTTGAGGAAGCAGTGGCTGACGTATTGCAGGTACTTGTCGTGCAGCTCTATCACCTTGCGCACAAACGCCTGCTCCTGCGCCCCCACTATGTCCTTCTTCTCCACCTGCTCCGCCCCGCACAGCCCGTGCAGCAGCGGGGAAAGGAAAGGGGGAGGAGGTCAGGGAAGAGGGAAGGAGGGAAGGATGCATGATGCGGGATGAGAAAGAGAGAATGAGAATCAAGGATGCGGAATGAGGGATGCGAATTTGGGATGCAGGGTGGGAATAGCCCAAGCTAGTGAGAGCAGGGCAGGTGCTGTGGGACGCAAGAGGGCACGCACGGCACGGGGAGGAGCAGCAAGGAGGCGAGAAGGGGCGCACTGACCTTCTTGTTGCTGGCGGCATCCTCTGCCTGCTTTTGAGAATTCTCAAAAGCGACTCAGATTTTGGAGGAGATAAGTGGCGCACTGACCTTCTTGTTACTGGCCGCATCCTCTGCCTGCTTCACCAGCGCTGTGCCCTCGTCCGTCACATGCTGCTCTCGCCACACACACACACGCCCACGCACACATGCACACACACACACACACACACACTCACGCACACATGCACACACACACACATGCACCCCCACACACACACACACATGTGCACATGCACACACAGAGTGTCAGCAACAATGAGCGCACTGGACCACAGGGACGGTAATGCAGGAGGACAACGAGGAAGCACATGCAGAGCAGGGAGCAGGGGGGGCGGCGAGCAGACCTGGCGGAAGATGGTGGCGATGGGCTCAAGGCCCTTGGGGATGCGGCAGAAGAGGCGGTACATGCGCGACAGATCGTCCACCTGCCACCACGCACGCACACACACGCATGCCCATCCCGCAATGCCATGCCACGCACAACACAACACAACACTCTCTTAGAGACGCGCTCATGCATGAGAGAACGAGGGAACAACGAGCATAGGGCCGGGGCATGGGCAAAGCCGAGCCCCCGCAAGAAGTTGAGGGAGGAAGCACGGGGTAAGAGGTGGGCAGGGAGGTGCGGGGAGGGAAGGCGAGGGAAGGAGGGAACGAGGCGGAGACAGAGCGAGGGGGCGTGGGGACTTGCCTTGTCGTCCTGCAGCAGAGCTCGGCAGCCTGAGTTATCCTTCTCCAGCAGCTGCTGCTCGTACTGCGTCAACAGCTCGTGCTGCACCTTCTACTCTCGCCTCAACCCGCCACACCATGCATACCCAGACCCACCACACACGCAATTAGGGAAAGGGGGAGAGGGGACGGAACGAGGGATAGCGATGAGGCAAACGGTAGTAGCAGAGAGCTAAGTGAAAGACAGAGTGGAAACAGAGTGGAACAAGAGTGGGCGGGTGGGAGGAGTGAAGGCAGGAGAAAAGTTAGAGAGAGCGTACCTCGAGCAGCTTGCCTTCACTGGACGCGTGCAGGTAGTGCGACACACGCTCCTTCTCCCTCTTCAGACACTCCTCCGCCTGCACTCCACCACCACCACCACACGCCACGCACGTACGCGCACACACTCATTTATCACATCAAGCAAATCTTCACACGAGCGCGAGCCGACCAAGAGGGCAGCAGGAGCACGAGCAAGAGCAAGGGGCAAGGACAAGGGCAAGGGCAAGGGGCAAGGGGCAAGGGAAAGGGAAGGAGCGAGAAGAGGGTAAGTGGACCTTGAGGAGGTAGTCGGGGCAGGAGTCGTCCATGATCCAGGAGGCGGCCTTGCGCGAGTAGTAGGCGGAGGTGGCGTGCAGCATGAAGACCTCGAGGTCCTGCTCGTAGTTGTCCATGGTGTCCATGCCGATCTCCACGAATATCCCCACCACGTTCTTCACCCCCGCGCGGTTTATCTGCTCGCCCTCGCGCTCCTTGTTCACCTGCACCGCGCACACACGCACACCGCACACCGCACGCCTCGACCGACCGGGTGAGTCGGCGGGGCTGCGAGAAAAGCTGCGCGCTGACAAAGCCCCCTTGTTACGACGCACAGCGGGCAAGGTGACGAGCGGCGCAGCATTGCTTGAAGGGCAGTGCGGTGGAATGCACGGGAAAGGCGCAAGGGCGCGGGGGGTGCGCGGTGGTGCGACTCACCAGGTCGAGCACGGCGTCCTTGACGCTGATCCGAATCTCCTCGTACACCTGCACTCACCACCACACCACACCACACCACGCCACACCACGCCACCCCACGCCACACCACCCCACCCCACGCCACGCCACGCCACGCCACGCCACGCCACGCCACGCCACGCCACGCCACGCCACAGGGCCACGCACACGTGCAGCCACGGGACCATTCACAATAAAGAGGAGAGAGATCGCAGGAACGGAGGCAAGCGGACAGTAAGACGACACCGTTTGTTCAGCGCACGCACGAATATGTACGCGGCGATCTGGCGGAGGCAGGACAAGCAGGGGGTGCGGGCGCGCGAGAGGCACTCACGAGGTCCTTGAAGCAGGAGAGGCCGACTTCCTTAAGCGTGGGCAGCTGGCGGCGGGGGATGTAGTAGCGGTCGAGGTAGTTGAAGAAGCGCGAGAGCCAGCGCACCATGAGCTTGTGGTTGTCCCACCGCCGCACCAGCTCCTTGAGCATGAACTCGTCGTGCTTCTCCTGCAGCGACGGCAGCACCTGCACGCGCAACACAGCCCCACGGCAGCGATCGCGACGCACGAGCAAAGCACCAGGTGAGGTTGCGATGGGGAAAACCGGAGGCGATCAGACGGATGTGAGACGGAGAGGCGACGGAGCTACGAGGAGGTTGGAGGGGAAAGAAGTGCGAGGGATGACAAATTACCATGGCTCTGATATAATCCTCGAAGGCCCCGCGATATTTATCGTACAGCTGCTGTGAGTAGTCTTGAGGATGCTTCTGCGTGCACATGTTGTAGATAATTCTGCCAGGACGGAAATAAGTGCCACCAAACACGACACGTCAGAAATCGTGAATCGAAAACTCCTTTCAATCGAATTCGTGACAAAAAAATAGTAAAAGAGATCAGGCGGCAGAGCGAGCGTGACGCCAGCTAAAGCAAGACGTCTGACAGCAAGGAACTCTTGTCGACGCAGTAGTCAGGTACTACGCGGCTGGGACCAAGGGAAATGTCCGACGGCCATCGTAAATTCGAGCCCTCGTGGCTTGCCAGCGATCTTAAAAAAGCAAAAACTAACGCGCTCCGAACAATCGCCTGTGCATGGCCGGAATTCGCGTTGCCACTAAACAAATACAGCGCAGTGTTTCATACCCAGCGCGGTTCGCCCTACATCCGGGGGATCTGCCAGGCAGTAACGGTGGAGCGGGACGTACGTGTAAAGGTTGATGTACTCCTCGTGCGTGAAGCGCTGGTCCGGCACGCCCTCCAGAAACTTCTCGAGCTTGTCGATGCCCCTCCGCATCTGCTCCCATCCCTCCTCTAAACTGATCGGCCGCCGATCGCTCATCCTGCACCAATACCTAATCTACTGATGAGAGCTAGTGTGGAAAAGGCCACACGCTTGAGACTTATTCACGATAAGGCTGAGAAAATCGTGTGCGCAGATCTAGCTAAAAAATAAAGACTAAGATCAAATGGAGTTAACACTACACAATCCTAAGGGTCTGTACCGAGCAAGTCTTGACCTGGGAGACCTACTCCACTATACTTCCCTAATGGCCTCCGAGCAAGCGGCACGACCTCGTGATAAGCATGTGGGATGATGACGGATGGGATGGGATGGGAAGAAGGGACACTGCCTGCCGTGCTGTGTGCACTGTTGCTGCTTCCTGGGGTGATTCGTGCTGGCTGGTGCTCCGCCACCACCACCACGCCCCCGCACCATCCCTCCGCCTCGGTCCCACCCTTCCCCAAGACTCACCCGCAAATGTTCAGATGGCGGAAAGCAGTGGGGGACGACCACCTCAAACTGTGTTTTGGTTGCGTGCGCCGAGCGACCTTGGTAACTTCGTTGTTCAAAATGTTGTGAAGTCAATGATAGGTGTACCGGTATTTCATTCAGGTTAGGTGCAGGCCAACGCTAGTACAAACATGAACCAAACGTATGGTGGACTGGTTGGTGCTTTGTTCCCCCAACAGCCTTGGTTCATCCACACAACCCTACACTTTTCTTTTTGTTAGCTTACATAGCGATAGCATCTCATCACTACTAAAGCCAAATTCTGCTTCTGCGGACACTGTATAGGAAGTGATTACTGTATGTTGAACAGCTCAATTCAGCAAATAATGTCAGGTTCATTGCATTCTCGCATTCAAAATTGTCTTATTGCACGGAGCCAAGCACAAGATTTCTTGTTGAAGATTCCCAATGAAGCCAATGTTGAGACACGGCCATCGTGGCAGATGTATCTTAGACACTACGGAAAACGTCTGACGTCACCAGTTCTATAAAAAAACAAACCACGACTAGTATGGTGCCCAAACCAGGAAATTGTATAAATTGCAGAAGGTATACAAAGCGACGGGAAAGGGGGGGAACAACAAATCGCAATCAGCACCATAATTTACGACAACTCAATCTCATCATCCTTGAAATGAACAAAGAACTTCTTCTTGGCTCCATTGACCTCAATCTCGAACGCCACCTTGTACGGTAAGTTCGCTGACACAGGAGTTCCCTTGTACACTCCAAGGACGTCCTTCACAGTCCCTTCCGTTCCTTCCAAATCAAACTCCTTCACCCCTGGCACATGAAAGACCTTCACGGATTGGGACACCCGCACCTTGTCGCCCACAGCTACCTTGTTGTGCTCGCTGGCAGGCCCACCACCCAATTGAACGGCGACCTCGGCACGGGCACCACGCTTCAACGAGGGAGCCGCACGTCGAGCAGACGGGAACGACCGAAGCGTAGACGACGACGCGACAGCTTGCCGAAAGCCTGTGACTGAAGAAAGAGACTGAGCCACCAAAGTGGTCGAGGCAATGGATAGTGCGCAAGCCATCGCAGAGAAACTACAATAAAGAGATTGCAGGTAAGACGAGCCGCTGTCTGAAGCACCCCCCAACCGCCTCAAAGGAACCTGCTGGAAACTAGCGTGTAGGACAATAGGCCTAAGAAGCGACTGTGTGGGAGGGAACCTGATGATGGCTGGGGTCAGGTAAGTAGTGTGTGCAAGGTATTCTTTTTTACCTTCCTGCAAGAATGCTCGTGGTGGCAGTGTGGTACGAGTTGAACGGTACACGTGTTTGTGACCCCAGCCATTTTCCTAGAGACGCCTTCACGAATTCCAGAAATGCTCCTGCTGTGTCAGCGTCTAGTAGACGTGGCATAGAATTCAGCCCACCTGTTCGTGGACCTGCCCACGTAGCGGATGAGCCTGCCACGCGGGATCAGTTTTTGGTGGACCATTCATTGGTAAATGTCGAAATGGGGCCACTCCCCACATCAAGCAAACGCGTCTTCGCTATGGAGCTGCAGTGTCGCTAACGAAACCCACCTCAAGCCAAAAATATTATCCTGGAAAACTTTACAATAACTGTGTCACTAGGTTTTGCTGTGCTATTAAGGGTTTGGGTTGCTAGAGATTCCACCACTGTATGCCCTAATCAGCTATTGATTCCGTTTGTGACTGTTTTTATTTTCGTAGCACTTTATGGTTGTTATTCTTTGTTGTTGCTGTGTGGCTTCTTATTCCCCTTCTTGTCCCTTTTCTGTCGCAAAAAAAATACAAGTCATTTTATGCAGAGCCTTGCTATTACCATAGCCCTTTTGCTGTTTCTTGTTGTTACGAGTGCAATTGAGTGAACGAACGAGAATTGCACCATCAAAGCAAGAGTACAATGAGCGAAGGCATGAGCGAAGAATATATAGCGAAACTACAGTGGTAACGGTAATGGACTGTGGTTGTCGCGCGACGAGCCTGGGACTGAGGTTGGGAAAACGTGTCGAACCGGAAGCCCGGAGCGCGGGTTACCCGCCGAGCCGTGAGGTCGGGGTGCGATGTGCGAAGGTGGCGGGCGGATTGACGATGCGAGGGTTGCGAGTGGTAACGGTGCTGACTGTGGTGCTACAGTGATGTACGCGTTGAGCAGGGATGCGAAGTAAGGAAAAGGAATTTTCCTTACACTACCCCCCCCCCCCTAAAGAGGTCCTCCTTACGAAAGTGCGTGTATATCTCTGAAATTTCGGCTGCGCAGATACTCGGTGAGGACGGGGTGGTTTTCGATTCTGTCCAGGGGAACCCAATTGTCTTCGGTGGGTGTACGGTCCTTCCAGCGAAGTAAGAACTCGATCCTTCGGGCTCCTCGAGGGTCGCGAACTCTGTGACTCAGGATTTTCTCGGGGGTGATGATTGGTTCAGTTGGTGGTCTTGTCATGCTGGCTGGGCGATTGCGTGGCAGTTGGCTCGTGGACGGGACGTAAGGGCAAAGTAGGCTGACGTGGAATGAGGGGCTGATGTACCAGTCAGCAGGGAGGAGGAGGTGGGCGGGGACTGGTGTAAGCATGTGGCTTATGCAAAATGGCCCGCAGTATCGGGGGCGGAGTTTCGGGGTGATGGGCAGTCGGAGGTTCTGAGTGTCAAGAAAAACTAAGTCGTCGGGCTGGTAAGTGACAGGTCTGCGGTGACGGTCGGCGTTGCGTTTAGCGATGATGTTCGATTTTTTTATTGCGTCTACTGCCCGGGTCCGTGCTGCTTGTAATATTTCGGCGAACTGTTGTGCTCGTTGTACTGGGTTGTCGGGATTCGAGGTCATGGGTACTGTCGGGTCTTGTCCGTAGTTTAGGTAAAATGGTGACTGTTGGGTCGTGGCGGATGGCGGGTTGTTGTACGCGAATTCGATTAGTGGCAATTGCTGTTCCCACGTGGTCGGATCGTCACACGTGGCCCTGATGAGCTGTTCCATGGTCTGATTTGTCCGTTCTGTTTGTCCGTCGGTTTCGGGGTGGTATGATGAACTGAACTGTAGTCGCGTGCCGAACTGCTGCCACAGGTTCCGCCAGAAGTTGCTGGTGAATTTCGTGTCGCGGTCGCTGATGATCGCGGCTGGTATCCTGTGCAGACCAACGACGGTGGAGATGAAGAGGCGTGCTGTTTCTTCGGCTGTGATTGATTTTTTACAGGCTGCGAAATGTGCCATTTTCGTCAGTCGATCGACGACGACCAGGATCGCGTCGTTCCCACTCGCCCCGGCTGGTAACCCCGTGACGAAGTCCATCGTCACCTGCTGCCAAGCACGCTCTAGGGGTGGTATCGGCTGCAACTGTCCCGTCGGCCACTGTCGTGATGATTTCATGAGCTGACAAGTGGGACACGATGCCACGTGTCGTTGTACGCCGGTCAACATTTCGGGCCAGTAATAATACCGCTGCAGCTGGTGCTGTGTTTTTTCTACTCCGAAATGTCCCGAGGTAACTCCGTCGTGTGCCTCCTGTAACAGTACTGTCAGAACTTATATTTGTAACTGCCTGTATTTGTAGTTAGTGTAGTTATTATAAACTTTGTTTGGTGGTGCACCTTCTTTATTTTCCTTTGCTATATGTTCCTTGAAACCTATAGTGAAACCATTCTTCCCAACTCACTCGACTCTCACCCTTGGCACGAACTACTCGATCTCGTTGGCCTAGGCTACTAAGCCTAGGCCGTCCTACACTTTCACCTACTTAGCAAGTAAGGATTGTGATAAGTACTTCCCGTAGCAGTGTATACCCAGGCACCCAAATGCGGTCAGTCCCGGTTTTTACGTAATAGACTCCCTTTGCTGTTGCGAACTGCTGCGAATTTCCTCCTGTGAAAAATGGATCCGTTTGGTACCCGTGGGTGAAAAGGCCTGTCAGTAGCGGGCTTGTCTGGGCAAGTAGTATTGCGTGGATCTGGGCAGTGGGGCGGGTCAGTGCGTCGGCGATGTTCGAGGCTCTTTTTTTGTAAGTGATTGTGTAGTGAAAGTTGGACTCGAGGAAATCGAGCCAACGAATCTGTCGTGGGTTGAGGTGTGGCTGTGCGCGAAGGTACTGTAGTGATGTATGGTCTGTCCGTATTGTCACGTCTGTCAGAATATTATAGCTTACTTATTTGTGTAGGCTATAGTGGGGTATCCCATAGGGGGTACAACCCGACTAGAGTTTCCTATTTGTACTCACTTCATTCATAGTCATTTCATTCTCGTTCTAACTTTCTCATGGTATCGAGCAGGTTCCCCCGTGGGAACTGTGCTTAGGGCCCACCACATCGAACCTTTTTTTTCTGCCCGGAGCGCGCTCCGGGCCCTTGCTCTTATTTTTTTTTTTTTTTCGATCTGCCCTAACGGCCCGAGCGCCGCCTTAGCGAGCCGCCCGCCCTAGCAGCCCGAGCGCCGCCTTAGCGCCCGCGCCCCGCTGCCCGCCCTCGCGCCGCCTTAGCGGCCGCGCCGCCCTGCTCTCGCGGCCCTCGCCGCCCTTCCTCACGCGGCTCCGCCGCCCCTGATCTCGCGGCCCTGTCGCCCCTGATCTCGCGGCCCCGCTGACCCTGAAAGCGCGGCCCTCGCCGCCCCTGATCTCGCGGCCCCGCCGCCCAAGCGCTCGCGGCCCCGCCGTCCCTGATCTCACGGCCCCGCCGCCTCAGCGCTCACGGCCCCGCCGCCCCTGATCTCGCGGCCCCGCCGCCCCAGCGCTTCCGGCCCCGCTGCCCCTGATACGCGGCCCCGTCGCCCCGGCGCTCCCGGCCCCGCCGCCCCTGATACGCGGCCCCGCCGCCCCAGCGCTCCCGGCCCCGCCGCTCCTGATCTCACGGCCCCGCCGTCCCTGATCTCGCGGCCCCGCCGCCCCAGCGCTCACGGCCCCGCCGCCCCTGATCTCGCGGCCCCGCCGCCCCAAGCGCTCCCGGCCCCGCCGCCCCTACTACGCGGCCCCGCCGCCCCTACTACGCGGCCCCGCCGCCCCTGGTCTCGCGGCCCCGCCGCCCCAGCACTCACGGCCCCGCCGCCCCTTGCTCTCGCGCCGCCCGACTGCAGCAGCCGAGCCGCCCAACTGCAGCAGCTAGGCCGCCCACCTGCAGCAGCCGAGCCGCCGTACCGCCGAGCAGCAGTGCAGCCGAGCCGCCCTGCACCCGAGCCGCCCGGCAGCTGAGCCGCCCCGCCCGAGCCGCCCTACCGCCGAGCCGCCTGGGAGCCGAGCCGCCCGGGAGCCGAGTCGCTGAGTAGCCGAGCCGCCTTTCTACCGAGCCGCCCGACCTGCCCTGCCCGGTGAGCACTGTACCGCTCTCACTGCGTGCCCTTCCCCTACTTCTTGCACTGCTTCACTCTCGTCGTCATGGCTACCCCTAGTGTCCTCGCTTTTGACGCTGAGGGTCGAGCCATAGACTTTGAGGTCTGGCTCGACGACCTGCAGTGCGATAGGGCGGACGGTCTGTCTCTCTTTGACCTCACCTCTGGCGCCGTCCCTTCCCCTGCTGCTGATGCTGACGCCACTGTACGCTCACAGTGGGCCACGCGCGATGCTGCTGCACGTCTTGCTGTGCGTCGCCACTTGCCTACCGCTGAGCGCGCGCACTTTAGCCAGTACAAGAGTGCCCAGACCTTGTACGACGCTCTAGTTGCGCGCTACTCCTCCCCTGCCACTGCTGCACTAAGCCGCCTCATGCTCCCCTTCCTCTTCCCTGACCTTGCCGCCTTTCCCACTGTCGCTGATCTCATCACGCACCTCCGCACTAGTGACACTCGCTACCGCGCTGCGCTTCCTGCTGACTTCTGCGCCAAGAACCCCCCCCCCATGTACATCAGTCTCTACTTCTTAGTCACTCGCCTCCCTGACTCCCTTCGTGTAGTCCGGGACCACTTCCTCGCAGTCTGTCCCACCACCCTCACAGTCGACAGCCTAGAGAAGGCCCTCCTTGCAGCAGAGAAGAGCATAGTCGCTGTAGGAGCCTCTCGAGGTGACCCCCGCGCCCCCATCTTTGAGGGGTGTTCTCCTTCCCCTCTCCTGCCCTCTGTCGCCTCTGCCGCTGCGGCCGACCTCGTTGGTCTTGAG